TTGTCAACATCAGCAACGTGTACCTGGTGAACTCTGACTTCTCTCCAGGACAGCCAAGTGTGCGGAGGCCTGGGATGGAAATAGTTGAGATAATGATCGAAGAAAACGATGATCCCAGAGGAATTTTTAAGTTTCATGTTACCAGGGTGAGATGAACTTTCATATGTTTATAGTCATACAGAAGCTTGTATCTGCTGATCTGGCTAGTGTTGTATATTTTCTGCAAAACAACTAGCTTTGCTTGTAGATATTTATTCATGTATGTCTTAAAATTTGTTGTGTATACTAATTCGTAGTTCTCTTTGAGGTAGGCCAAAGGATTAAGTAAGTTCGTTCCCATTACATTAAATGTAAGAGTCCTGAAAACCTATTATGCATACTTGTGTCTGACTATAGATTTCTACTTTGAAGAGTGTATAAGTATAAGAACTATAAGTAGGAATAATAAATTTAGAAAGCGATGACTTATATGAGTTACTGTTGTCTTGAATTTTAACTTATGTTCTTTACTTAAAGGATGCCGATGGAGTTATTACTGCTTATGAGATGCCACCACCCCTGAACATTCTTCGAGTTCCTGTAGTCCGGCTGGCTGGAAGCTTTGGAGCAGTAAATGTTCATTGGAAAGCAACACTGGACAGTGCTGGCCTGCAAGATTTTAAGCCATCTCATGGGATTCTGGAATTTGCAGATAGACAAGTATGCTGGTTGTGAACATATTAGCATTTTTTTGGTTATACTTCAAACATTATAGGCATCCACCAAAAAATTGTGCAGTAGTGATTGCTAAGTGGATTATACTCTAAATTTCTAGGTTAAGCCAAACAGAAATATTGTTAGTTAAATGTATAAATACTTAGTGGACAATGACGAGAAAATGAAGAGGCAAGAGTCTCACCATTCTCTGACTTCCCCACCTGATTCTATTTTAAATAGACGTTATAAAAGAAGATAATAATTGGCTTAGAGGTATCTAAGAGCATATAAAAAAAAACTGCCTGATGAACTAGACTATTCCTGTTAATTTTAGGTTCTTTTATTTATTTCTCGATGCTTGCAAACAACAGATATTTATTTAGGATTTGCACTAAAAGTGTGCACATTTTGTACTCAATATCTTAAACATTTTTTTACAATTAGAAGACAAATGACAGAAAAGGAACAAAATAATTAAAACTGGAAAAAAGTAAAAAAAACAATATTCTATATTTGGGCCAATCAATCTTAATAAGTGCAAAATATTCCACAAGAATTATAAGCTTGGCAAACGGGGCATTTTGTAATATGTAAGAATAAGGTGTCACAAATTTTTAAATCAATAAGTGGAAAAAGCACGTAAACAACCGTGAAAATGTTGGTAACTTCAAATGGCAGTATAAGTCTACATGAAGTCTGATTTTGCCTAGGCAGATTTGCATAGTGTGCATCAACTTATTAGTTATCCCTAGTGGGGCAGCAAATGCTGCTGAAAAATTAGCATACAGATCTAGATTTTCCAATACATAAAGACCTATTGTTAATATTTGAAACCACGAGTTTTTAACAAATTTAGAACTTAGAACATTTTCTACCAAAAGAAGGGAAAAATGCATATTTTTATGATAAAAGCAGAAACAATAAATTGATTTCTCATTGAAGTAGCCTTCCAACTTTAGTTATATTATCAGCACTTTATTCTGTGCTTGAGGTTGATGTCCTATTATTTAGCAGCATCCTTAAGATAATCATTATTATTAAATTTAACACCTATGGGGAAGATGCTCTGTAGTCTACAGTATAGGTTTGAGGTGCAGACATTGAATTAGCTTCCATTTTAGCATTTGATTTTGATCAGGTTTCTGCCTCTCCAAGTGTGACATCCAGATTTCTCACTTTTCTCTGTTATTACATTAACGGTTTTAGGTGGATTTCAGTAGAAAAACTTCATTTCCTGGTAAATGTCTTTTTCAAAGTACGGACATTTCTGTCTGGGATACAGAAAAAGATTTTAAATATGGAGATATCACTGGGCTATTTTTATAACCAATAGTGAAATCAGCAGTTGGACTGAGATTTATTTATATGTTATAAAAACTTTTAAAATAGACCCAGACCAATGAGCAAAATCCTGAACATAAACATTTAAGAACAAGAAATTTGGGTTTTCTTCCTGCCTTTCTTTTCCTCTATATTACAAGAACAATATTGGAAGCGAAAGGGGTTTATTTTAACTGCAGAAGGCAATAATAATTTTTGTGGTACCGTTTTATATCATGTAATATTAATACTAAGTGTAGTAAAATGTATATTTGTGCAATGGTTGTTAGAGCCTACATGGCCTTTTAAATATTTTTGTTCAAGAATAAGACTTCATTGTGTTTTGTATCTATAAATAGCACTATATTTTATTACATATATAATTTTACTTATCTTGACTCTAATAAACTGTAAATTTGTTACTTCGAAACACTATAAATATATGTGGCTTTTAAATGGTATTGTGAAAATAACAGGCAAAAAATCCTGCATTTTTCTTTTGTACTATGTTTCAAGCTTCAACTAAAAATTATATATGATGAAAAATTGCTATTACGTGATATCCTCCCTCTTCTTTCTCTTTCTCCCACTTTTCTTCTTTCCTTTTCTTTCATAGGTTACTGCGATGATAGAAATCACCATAATTGATGATGCTGATTTTGAACTAAGGGAGACATTCAGTATTTCCTTAATCAGAGTGACCGGAGGTGGCAGACTTGGTGATGATGTTGTGGTCACTGTTGTTATTCCACAAAATGATTCTCCATTTGGAGTATTTGGATTTGAAGAAAAGACTGTAAGTTAAATGTATGCAGGGTGGTGGGTGTTTTCTTCCCCTGGGCTGATGTTTAATGTAATTTTTACAAAAAAATTCCTTCATTTTTAAAAGTAATTCATTACCCTTCCACTTGTGATTCTTTTCTCAATGGTCTTTTTGAGTTGGCTATTATATTAGGGGCCAGTCCTCAAATCTGCAGTTTGATAATAATGAAAACTCTTAGGCAATTACAAATGGAAACAGATTCCTATTTATTAGATGTAATAGACCATGATGTACTTTTTGTCTGTATGTTTGTTCTCTGCCTGCCCTGTAGCCAGACCACCATCCTGGTCACAAGACAAGATTCTGTGATGATATACCTCAGGATGGATTTACCACCTACTTCTGGTGGTATACCTCAGGATGGATTTATTTAGCTGGGGAGGGATTTATATTACCTCCCTTCTGGTCCTCTGTCTTAACTTATATTGAACAAAACACCACAGTCATCCAAGCTCACGTGTTTCTCTGTATTTCTTCTTTCTTCCCTCTTCCCATTGGCTGTCTAGTTCCAAGACCTGGAAAAGGGAACACCAATTATTATTGGTTCAAGCACTGAGAGGGAAAAAATATTTAACCAATCATTTGTGCAGACAGGCTTGATTACTAGTAATAAATTATCTCTACATCTCAAATATGAAATAAAGTGCTATAAACTATTATAATTATCATAACTTTACTTTTCAAAGGAAATTCTATGATGAAATAATCATAAAAGTATTTAGATAATCCTGATATAAATAATCACTTTTCTGGCTCCATATGTCACTATTATCTTTATTTGATCACTGATAGGTAGTCTGTAATTCACCATAGATGATTTTAAATAATAACAAGTGGCTCTAAGTCTATTGCCTTTACTGTTCCATGTATGCGAGGATTGACCTACAACTTGCCTGTCAGGGTTGGGCTTCTCAGATGTTCCAAAATTTAATATACCATAATAATTTGATCATTGAACTTTCAACATTATAAGAAAATGGAAACCAGCAGAGAGATAGAACACACTTCTGTAGCCTAATGACCCTTTTTCTTCCTTAAGAAAAGAATTAGCAAAAGTAAGTATTTATAAGGAGTGGTAAATTCACAGGACAGTAGCTGTGACTATCTCCCAAGCAACATAAAAAGTCTGTGAAATACAAAAATATATAAAGAAGACAATAAAAGCATCCATAATATTACTAACCTGAGATAGATATCATTAGCACTTTGTTGTATTTTCATCCTAGCTTTCTTTCTTTGCATGTATGCAAAGAAATATTTTAATACATATGCATATGTAATTTAATTTTTATAAAGTGTCTCTATTAGCTTCTGAGGTTAGGTAAAATGTTCAGGGTTAAGTAGTCAAACCTCTAATTGATGAAACCTTATAATAATGTTTTTGCTTTTAACTTGTCACACTTTTGGGCTTAGGCACTGGACGGTGTATTTAAATGCTCTCACTGTTAAGAGTAATGAAGAATTACGTTATTATTCATAGATAATTTTTGTTTATTCATTTTTTTAACTATCTTAATGCACAAATGAGTGTTCTCTTGGTCTGGGAACTCATATCTTATTTACTGTATTAGCCTCAAATTTCCAATTTACCTACAGTCTAAAAGTAAGAGTTAGGTCACCTAAATCCTACTGTGTTATCCCTCATAACCCTTATTGTGAGGAGTAAATGAGTTGATACATGGAAGTACTTAGAACTGGGCTTTACATTAAATAGGTGTCAATTGCTCTTTTTATTGTAGCTGGAATTAGTAGTAGCTTGTTACCAGCCCTTTGTGTCTACTATCCTTATATCCTATCCTTCTTGTACTACCAAAGCTCTTTTATTTAAATTTAATTTTATTATTAGTTTCAAGTGTACAAAATAACATCATGATTAGACATTTACACCTCTCACAAAGTGATAACCCCACGAAGTCCCCTACCTATCTGACATTGTACATAGCTATCATGATAACTTTACATCACGTGACTCTTGTATAATTATAGTTGACATTTAATATTATTTTATATTAGTTTCACATGTACAATACAGTGGTTAGGCATTCATATAATCTATGAAGTGATTCCCTCCGATAAGCTCAGTACCCTTCTGACACCCTATATAGTCTTTACAACACCAACAGCTCTTGATAACATGGAGTTTATCTTTTAACATAGATCTAACATATACAACATTATGTACGCAGTGAACATTCTAGTAGCATTATGTGGTGATACAGATTACATTCAGCGTTGAGAAAAGATTGTTAGTATAAATCTGTCAATATTAACAAACTGCTCACAGTGGCTCTATGTGAAGTAGACCAAAGCACATTGGAGGTAGCAGAGACTCATGGAAATCTACTTATGAAACCTAAACTGAAATATTATATATATCCCTCAGCTTTCTGTGAGGCTTAAATAATATAAAGTATGTGCAAGAACTGACACATAATAGAAACTCAGTAAATATCAGTTGGCTCCAAATCCTTACTCTTGGCACAAAACAAAATCTCATGGTAAAACCAAAACAAGATTAAATTATGTTTGTTAATGTTGGTCTGTCTTGAAAATGGAAAGCACTGTATTATATTTTGTATGTACTTAACAGGTGGTAGTGTAGGCTCAGTTTGGACTTTGCTTCACAGAATCAATATATGTAATTCAGTCGAAGCAAGTCTCTTAATAAGGTATTATGTACAAAATAAATATTAATGCTATATAGTGCATTAATATACTGACTTTTTTTCTCTATGTCCTGATAATAATAAAGCGTCCTTTAAATTTGACGTACTAAAGTTGGAAAACTGCAAATAATTCAAAGGGAAGTTTAGGTCTGTATTATGTGGGGTGCCTGTCATAAAAATAACCCCCATATCTCACTTCCTTAACATAATAAGAGTTTATTTCCTCTTCATTCAAGAATCATACATCTGTCTTCTCACTTGAGTTCTGATGGAGTCCTATTCTCCACCTGTCTTCTGGGGCACCAGATTGATTCCATCTTGTAACTCTGCTGTCCTCTAGGTCCTGGGAGTCCCTTCTAGACACCTGTCAAATGGAGGAAGAGGGAATGAGGAAGATTGTGTAGGAAGTTGATTACCAGACTGTTAGTAGCATATATCACTTCTCCCTACTTTCTTTTGGCCAGAATTCAATCATGTGTTCTACCTGATTGCAGGAGTGGCTAGGAAATGCCAGTAGCTGACTGGCTAGGCCAGGGGTCGGCAAACTGCAGCTTGCGGAGCCACACATGACTCTTTGGGTACGTGCATGTGGCCCTGAAGTAAAATTGAAAATGAAAATAAAACTATCATAGTTTCATTTATAAAATTTTTAAAGGATATTATTCACATAATGGTGATTTCATTTGTTTTATGGCTCTCGAATACTTTTTAAATTGTTGTGAGGGACAGGATTGGCTCTTCTGCCTCAAAAGTTTGCCAAGCCCTGGTCTAGGACAAAATGAAAATGGGGTTTAGTGAAACACTTTTTTCTGCCCATGTGATTGTAACATGTCATGGCCGAGTTCTAAATTCACAAATTGCAGTCATTGTAAATAGAAGTAAGACTCTGTTTGTTTTTCCTGCTCCTTTGTTTTTTTTTCACTTTACTGCATTCTCTTTCAGGTAATGATTGATGACTCCCTTTTGTCTGATGACCCTGATTCATATGTGACATTGACAGTTGTCCGGTCCCCAGGAGGAAAAGGAGCTGTCCAACTGCAGTGGACCGTAGATGAGACAGCTAAAGATGATCTCAGTCCTCTGAGTGGGACACTTCATTTTGATGAGGTACTGTCAGCATCAAGACTCTGGTGCTTTTTCTCTAATTTGTCTTTGATCATCTTTTCCATAGTCTTACTTATGAATTCCTATGATATTATTCACTATATCTGGACTTTTTTGAAATTATATAAACTGTGAGGGGAAATCACACACAAACACACACACACATGCACACACAAACGCACGCATGCACACACACACATACACACGAAACCCTAGATGTCTGAAATTAAATTTAGTTGATGTACTGCCTTTGTCCCACCATCAAAACTATTCTTCTGTCAATATTTTCTCTCTGATTGAGGGCAATACCAGTCAACCAAGACAAACGTCTGGGTGTTATCCCTATCTCCACCGATTCTATAAGTCTTACATATATTTGATCACCGCACCTGGTCAATTCTCTCTTTTAAATGCTCTTTCTCACTGTTCACCTGTATCATAGCTCTGACAGTCCATGCCTCCATCATCTTTCCTTGGGTAGAGTCTTTTAACTGACATTCTCAGTCTAAGTCCTTTCTCTTTTCTGTCCATTATCCATGACACTCACTGATAGGGTTATCTTTCTATTAGGAATATCATGTTACCCACCCCCTGCTTTAAACAATCCAGTGGCTTCCTCTTATCCATAGAAATCCAAGCTCTGTAACATGGTACACAAAGCCTCTCAGGGAATCCTGACAGTACTTTCTACCTTTCTTTCCCTATTGCTTAATTTTTGTTATTTGTTCTTCAGTAATAACAATTTACGTATAATCCCCTGAATATTCTGGGTAGTTTCATAGTTTTCTACTATCCAGTTGCTGTTTCTTTGTCCTGCTGATCTTAAGTCACATCCTCTCTGAAACCTTCTCTTTAGAGATTAAGTGGAGTTATATATTCCTTTATGTTTTATTGCTGTACCTATTCACAAGTTGAGAAGTGTACTTATTACAGGATTTATTAGATCAAATTATATGGAATTGCAGCCATTTGACTACTTTGCTCTTTGAAATGACAATTTCATATGATTAAACCTAATAGTAATTGCGTGCCTCTCCCCATCCAGTAATGAGGTCTCTTTAGATTTATAAATTACTCATCTTTGTATCTTGATACCCACCTTGGAGCTGTTCATTTTTGAATATTGCACACAACACAACATGGATTCTTCTGACTCCCTTCTTGAGACCCCAACTTGATGTTCTGGTACTACTTGATGTTAAGGTGATGTGGAATTGACTGTATGACACATCTCTCACTAGAGTATTGAGGGTGAGAGAAGCTTTAACTCTAGCAGGCTGATTCTTTTAATTTTAAGATAAAAATTTCCTGAGTTGACAAAAAGAATTTAATTTTTTAGATCAGAAGGACTCAGCAAGTCCCAGGCAGAAAGGTTTTTAAATAGCCCACAGATAGGTTTATCTTGGCAAAAGAAAATCCAAAACATTAACTTCAAGAATAATAAGAAATAGCCACAAGTATTCAGACAGGAAAAATAAATATGAAGAAAAAAATGGATGGCAAAATGACACAGTGTTTCTCCTCTGCAATGGATAAAATATGTTTAAAAAAAGTGTGATTCAGAATTTTATACTGAGTCGAAACAATGGTTGTGTACCATAATAAAAGATGGTCTCAAACTTACAGACTCAGAATTTTTAACATTTATGTACACTTGGAAAAAATGATTGAAGTAATGTTTCAGCAATCCAAAGTCTGAATTAAAATAAATAATTTAAGAGTGAAAAACACATTACATTCCATCTTCGTGTGTCCCAGCCTACCACAGTGATTACTTTCAGAGAAAACCAAGATCTCTTTGCCCCAGCAATTGGATTTTACAACTCCTGAGAATGACCCCTCTTTCCAAGTCCTGTAGAGCAGTTTGCAAATATCATATTTATTTATGTCTTATCAACACTGGCCATAAGGACTTTGGCTGGTGTGTCAACCAACCCTTTCCAGAATGTGACTTTGCTGGTTTGTAGTATTCACTCAGCTTCCTACACCTTAGCCAGCTTTAATAACTGGAAGTAGCTGGGTCAAGCAGCATGTACTGCTCAATTAATCTGAGCACAGAGTTTTAGATAGGGGTGTAAATGGCCTCAGTCAACCCAGGGCCAAGTAGTATTTACCAATCAAACACTCAACTCTTCTTCTGGAAGGAGAGATATGGAGGTGGAGGAGAATCGACAAGCTGATTCTAAAATATGTAAGGAAATGGAAAAAACCAAGAATCATAAAAAACTCATAAAGAAAAAGATGGAGTGTGGCCTTGCTTAAGAAATTTAAGATAATATATAGCACGGAATATTACTCTGCCATAAAAAAGAATGGAATCTAACCATTTGTGACAACAATGGATGGACCTAGAGGGTACTGTGCTAAGTGAAAAAAGTCAAACTGTGAAAGACAAATACCATATGATCTCACTTATATGTGGAATATAAAGAACAAAATCAAACAAAACAGAAACAGACTCATAGATACAGAGAACAAACTGATGGTTACTAGATGGAAGGGAGGGTTGGGGGACTGGGTAAGTAAGGCGAAGGGGTTAAGTACAAATTAATGGTTACAAAATAGTCATGGGTAAAGTACAGTATGGGGAATATAGTCAATATTGTAAAAACTATGTATTGTCTCAGGTGGGCACTAAACTTATTGGGGGGTTTACCTCAAAAATTATACAAATACCTAACCACTATGCTGTACACCTGAAACTATTACAAAATAATATTGAATGTCAACTATAATTAAAAAAAAAGTCATGGGAATGTAAAGTACAGCATAGGGAATGTAGTCAATGATATTGTAATAACTATATATAATGTTAGATGGGTAATAGACTTATTGGAGTTATCACTTTTTGAGGTATATAAATGTCTAATCACTATGTTTTGTACACCTGAAATTAATTTAAAAAAATGATAATATGTAGACAAGGCACATAACACAGTGTGATACTGGCTCTGGGATAAACAAATGGACCAAAAAGAAGAAAATGAAAAGGCCAGATTTATCAATCTTTGTTATGTTTTTTGCCTTTAAAATCATATTTGCATATTTTTCCCTAAATTAATAAAAACAAAAGTAGAAGAGAAATAGCTAAAAACCATTAAAATAGAACTGATAAGTAAATAATAATAATAATAATAATAATAATAAAAATAACCTCACAAAATAGGAATTGACAAGAAATAACCATTAACAGAGAAAATGACTTCAACCTTTTAAAATTTGTTGAGGTGAGTTTTGTGCCTCAACATACGTTCTATCTTTGAGAATGTATACTAGAGAAGAATGTATAATCTGATGTTCTGGAATGAAAGGTTCTGTAAATATTAATTATGTTCATTTGGCCTAATGTATCATTTCAGCTGATATTTCCTTATGGATTTTCCATTTGGAGGACCTATACATAGTGTAAATGGGGTATTTAGGTCTTGTGTTTATTTAGGTCTTGTGTACTTGTGTTTTTCTCAGTCTGTCCCTTAAGCTGTTAGTAGTTGCTTTATATACCTTGGTGCTCTCTGATTGGAAGCATGTATATTGATGTGTTATGTCTTCTTGATGTATTGTCCTCTTTATCATTATGAAATGTCTATCTTTGTCTCCTGTTACCTTTTTCATCTTGAAGTCCATTACGTCAGATATAAGTATGGCTATACCCACTTTTCTCTGGATACCATTTTCTTGGAGTGTCATTTTCTACTCTTTCACTTTGAGTCATAGTTGTCCTTGCAGCTGAGGATGTGTCTCATGAGGGCAGCATGTGGTTGAGTTTTGTTTTTTGATCCAGTCTGCTACTCTGTGCCTTTGTATTGGTGAGTTCAGTCCATTTACATTTAAGGTAATTATTGCTATACGAGGTCTGACAATTAAGTTCGCGAACTTACCACCGTGTGCTTACATTGGCAGCATTGTACAAATAGCTCAATAAGGTTTAATAACCTTGGTATATCAATGTTTCACAGCTGTGTTCATGTCGACATGTTGCGGTGTCTTGCTGAGTGGCGTTTATTGTTGCATGTTTTTTGTGCCATTGCAAGAATGTCTGATCTTGAATTAGAGGAATGAGCAAACACTGAATTTCTTGTTAAACTTGGCAAGATTGGAAGTGAAATCAGATACATGTTAGCCCAAGTTTATGGGGATAATGCCATGAAGAAAACGGCAGTATACAAATGGATTAAACTTTTTTCTGAGGGGAGAGAATGCGTCACTGATGAAGACAGGTCAGGGAGGCCATTAGCCAGCAGAACTGACAGAAACATTGCAAAAATTCATCAAACTGTGCATCAAAATTGTCAACTGACTATGAGAAGCATAGCAAACTAAGTAAACATTGACAGAAACAGTTAGGAAAATCATAACTGAAAATGTTAGCATGAGAAAGGTGTGTGCAAAAATGGCCCCGAAGGAGCTCACTGATGAACAAAAGCAAAGGAGAGTTGAAGTTTGCCAAGACCTTTTGGAAAGGCAAGATGATATTTTGGGCTGTGTTATCACTGGTGATGAAACACGGGTGTACCAATACAACCCTTAAAGCGTCAAAGTGCGTAGTGAAAGTCAGCCAATTATCCATGACCAAAACATTTCCGTTAGTCCAAATCAAGAGTCAAAACGATGTTGCTAAGCTTTTTTGATATCAGAGGGATTATTTGTTATGAATTTGTACCAAATGGACAAATAGTTAACCAAGTTTACTATTTGGAAATGCTGAAAAGGCTGCATGAAAAAGTTAGAAGAAAACGACCTAAACTTTTCATCAACAATTCATGGCTCTTGCATCACAACAATGCACCAGCTCACAAAGCACTGTCTGTGAGGGAGTTTTTGACCAGTAAACAAATAACTGTATTGGAACACCCTCCCCACTCACCCGATCTGGTCCAAAATTACTTCTTTCTTTACCTGAAGATAAAGGAAACATTGACAGGATGACATTTTGATGCCATTCAGGACATCAAGGGTAATACGATGATAGCTCTGATGGCCACTCCAGAAAAAGAGTTCCAAAATTGCTTTGAAGGGGGCAACTGGTGTTGTTGCATAGATTCGCAAAGGGGAGTACTTCGAAGGTGACTGTAGTGATATTCAGCAATGAAGTATGTAGCACTTTTTCTAGGATGAGTTCACAAACGTAATTGTCAGACCTTGTATGGGAATTTCCAATAGCCATTTTATCTTTTATTTTCTGGTAGTTCAGTCTCTACATATTTCTTTGTCCTTGTGTTTCTGTCTGTTATTTTAGTTTGGAAGTATTCTATGAATTTTTCCTCTGTTTCCTCTTTTTTTTTTGTTTTTTTAAAGATTTTTATTGGGGAATTGGGGGGATGGGAACAGTGCTGGGGAATTGAGGGAAGGGGGACAGACAAGTTGCTGTCGTTTTGTTCTTCAGTCTAGTTGTGGAGGACGTTGCTTCACTGGCCCAAGTTGGCACCATCATTGCGCTCTTCCTGGGCGAGGCAGATCAGTCGCCGGCTTCTGGACGGCTGCTCACTGTGGCTGCTGGCCGCTCATGCTGGCTGCTGGCTACACACGGTAGCCCATGGCAACCCACTGCAGCAGGGGCTGCAGCCTACACCGTCGCTGGCGACTCACGGAAGCCCAGCTCCAGGTCGAGCTGTTGTTCAGCATCTTAGCTGTGGAGGGCAGTGTCACTGGTCCTCATATGTGGGATCCAAACCGGGGCCCTCTGATGTCCCAAGCCAGCTCTTAACCATCGCGCCACTCGGCTGGCCCTCCTCTTTTTTTTTTATGTTATGTGTCTTAGTTCTGGATATTTTTTGAGTGGTTACCATTAAATTTATGTAAAAGAAAGTTTCATATATACAATAGTCATTTTTCTTCTGTATGCATCTTATCTCCATTTCCCTTTTCAAATTCAGACCTTTACCCTCTCCCCTTTTATGTTTTATCATAAAAAATTATTTCTATTTATGTTGTGAGTTCATTTCTGAGTTGCAGTAGCTATTGTCTTCGCTTTTTCTTTCTTTTTAATATTTTGAAGTCCTTTAACCTTTATGTTATATTTAAGTGTATAGTGCCCTGTTCTGAATAAGGGTTGTGATTTCCTTCTTCTGTCTGTCTGTTAGTCATCTTACTCATAGTTTTGTATCCTTTTATCTTTTTGTTTTAGGTAGAATAACCCCTTTCAGTGTTTCCTGTAATGCAGGCCTCTGGTGGAAAATTCCCTCAGCTTCTGTATACCTGGAAAGGTTTTGTTACTCCTTCATATCCAAAGGATAACTTTGCTGATTATATTAGTTTTGGCTGGTAATGTCTCCCTTTCAATAGTATGAATATTTGATTCCATACCCTCCTAGCATGTAGAGTTTTGGCTTAAAACTCTGATGATAATCTAATGGGCTTTTCTTTTCCCTGGCTGCCTTGAGAATTCTTTCCTTGTCATTAATTTTTGACAGTTTTAATACAGCATGCCTTGGAGAATGCCTTTTTATTTTTTATTTTTTTAAAGATTTTTATTGGGGAATTGGGGAAGGGGAACAGCCAAGTTGTTACCCTTCAGTCTTAGTTGGGGAGAGTGCAACTAGCTCAGCTCCAAGTCCAGTCACCATCTGGCTGCCCATTGGCAGCTTGTGGCCACTGAGCTCAGAGGGCCATATTCAATCTTAGTTACGGGTGTGTGTAGCCCACAATCCCATGCGGGAGTCGAACTGGCAACCTTGTTATTAGGAGCACGTGCTCTCACCAGCTGAGCCATCCTGCCACCTGTTGGTGGCTCAGTGGCAGCTCAGCACGGGTGCAGCTCACTGGCCCATGTGGGAATTGAACCGGCGACCCTGTTGCTCAGAGCTTGCATTCTTAACCAACTGAGCCACTCGGCTGGCCCTTTTTTTTTTTTTTTTCTAATGGTGAAAGAGCAATTTATCAGAAGAGATAGTACACTTCTAAGAAATAGAAGCTGGCTCAAACAGTAGAGAATGGTTCAAGGGCCATTATTAGAAGAGAAAGTACACTTCAAAAAGTTTGGAGCGGGCTGAGCAAAAGGAGCTCAAAAGGCCAAGAATGCTGTTTTAGGTTGAGAAAATTAGGTGTGCTGTTTACTTCTTGGATTCCAGGATCCAGTTCTTTCTATAGGTTTGGGAAGTTCTCATAGACTATTTGTTTGAATAGGCTCTTTGTTTCCTTCTCTCTTTCTCTTCTCTTTCAGGTATACCCATTATTTTTATATTGCTCTTTGTGATAGAGTGAGATAGCTCTTTCATTTCTTTTAACTCTCAAGTCTCTCTCTTCTTCCATCTGTGTCATTTCCAGATTTCTGTCTTCCATATCACTAATTCTTTCCTCCATCTGGTCAGCCCTATTTCCTAAGCTTGTTATGTCATTCTTCATCACTTTTGTTTTGTTCTTTAGCTCCAGAATTTCTATTTGTTGTTTTTTTTCTTAAGTTTCAGTCTCTTTAATAAAGTATTCCTTTTGCTTGTTAATTTTACTTCTGAATTCACTAAACTGCCTATCTGAGTCTCCTTGCATCTCATTGAGTTGTTTCAGCAGTGTAATCTTGACTTCTCTATCATTTAAATCACATATGTCCATGTCTTTAAGTTTATTTTCTGGAGATTTTTTCCTTTTCTTTCTGAGCTTCCTTGTTATCTTTGTTGTTCACAGAGAACAGTTTAGTGGTTACCAGAGGGTAAGTGGACAGGAGCAGGGGGGAGGTAGGAGAGAGTAAAAGGGGTCAAATATATGGTGACCGAGTGAGATTTGACTTGGATGGTGAACACACAATGCAGAACACAGATGTTGTATTATAAAATTGTGCAATTGAAACCTATGTAATTTTATTAACCAGTGTCACCCCAGTAAATTAAAAAAAATAAAATAAAAGACAGAAAATATCAAAAATTTTAAGAGACCTCTTTATGCAAATCTAAGCAAATAAATGTAAAAAAACCCCACCTATGTGAAATTGACTCCAGTAGATATATAGTGGATATAGAAAGTCCAAACAGATGAATATCCATAAATGATATTCGAGGGAAAAAAAGAGCATAGAAGCTCCCCAGGTGGTTTTCCAAAGGAATTTTATGAAATATTTAAAGATCAGGTAACCCCAATACTACATGGTTTTCATGTCTACTTTTTTTAGAATCTGTTGACCTTTATTTAGAGCTTTCAATACCAAACAACACAGAAACAAATACTTTTTTCTTTCAGTTTTCTGATAGGTGATTAACGAATTAATCAGTGATGCTGTCCTGCAATCTATTTGTACTTAGACATTCAACTGCCATTCTTGAGGTGTTGGCTACTCAAATGGTTTAATGATTTCAAGGCAGATTTTTTATCCACTCATTTATAGATTTTGCTAGATGATGACTCAAGAAATGTTTAGGTTTCATGTCCTAGCCATGATCTGAAAACTTCTCATCTGGCATGACAAGAATTTAGAAGTTACTTTCAAATTTTTGTAATGATTTTCCTCAGTAATTAGGAGCAGTACTTTTTCAGTTACCAGATTCTAATTCCTAGACCTACTTCCCAGATGACTCAAAAGATTTTCTTGTTTTGAGCAGGACATCCATACCAAAATGGCACATAGTCTATCTTCTCCCCCAAGGAATAAGGCCGTCCTTTCTCAGAGTACTGCATCAGTAGGATGGCTTTGTAGGTCAATCTGGATTTGACTCTCTGTCTAGTTGGTTGGCCACCAACCTGGTGCATTTCATGTACAACTGCGTAATGGCTTCACTGTTCTTGTACAAGCAGTACTGACATACACCTGTCTCCATCCTAAAGAATGATTTTGTAGCTCAGACACACAATCATAGCCTCCAGTTCACAATATGCAGAGAGTAAAAGGGATGGAAACGATTAATTGCATCTTATGGATTATAGATTTTCCATGAATACATTTAATAAAGTCTGAAGCAGGAAGTACACATTTTCCTAGAAGCTCTTAAAATTTTTTTAAGAAAGTGCAGATATTGTAAAATAGGATAATAGGGAACTATGAAGAGAGAAGAGCTTGAGTGAGGAGATTAAAATAGTGCTTTTTAATATTAAAAATCTCAAAGAAAAAATGCAATTACAGAACTAAGATGTACATGAAAAAGAATAAACAGTAGAATTCAAACTGCAGAAAATTAATCAGTGATGCATAGGACAAATTGGAGTTGTTTTGTCAGCACGCAGAGGAAAGGGTAAAGATAAAAGTGATATCTGTCTTGATTATGTCTCAAAGTATTAATGTAGTTGTCGTCTGTATATTTGCGTTCCTCTATTCCTTCTCTTCCAACCTACACTGAAAACTTAATAGCTGTTCTAAGAAATTACAGGGCTAAGTATAATATAAGAGAGAGAAGGAATCATAGTGAGTGCTTTTGAGATCAACACCTGTGGAAAGAATGAGAAGGAAGCAGGAATGAGTGGAGGGCAAAGGATCAAAATGGGTAGTAGAAAGATAACCTTTATAAGGAGTAAACCTATGACCTTGACATTTTTATATTATACTGTGACCATTTAGAGATTGGACTTTTTCAATGATAGTAAATTTGGAAGTTGTGTTAAATTGTTTCCTCTTTTTCTATTAAGAACCTGAAGAGGTCTTATGGACAGAGCTATTTTTTATGGTAATTCTCTTTAGAAGCAACTCATAATTCTAGGGGACAAAGAGGACACATTTTAAGACATGCTTATGGACACATAAACATTATCCCACTAATGAGAACATTCAAAATTTAGCTTTGGTTAACCTGGAAAAGTTATTATTCCTCTCATTTGATCTAGACTGAGTCCCAGAAGACCATTGTATTGCATACACTTCAAGACTCTGTGTTGGAGGAGTACAGGCGTTTCACCATTCAGCTGATATCAGTTGATGAGGCAGAAATATCTCCAATAAAAGGTAAGAGAAATTCACATTTTTGGAAATTAAAAAGTAGATTCTCAGAAAAATGTAACCAAATAATCAGTAGTTACAAAGGCAGGTAATGTTAGGTTTTATAATTCCTAAAACATTTGCTAAAACATGAAGATGTCATTTTCTGTATGACATCTGTATGACAGTGAAAGAATTTTTAAAATGAAAATCACAATACCCAATATTAGGCTATATGTCAAAGATTTACTGCAACTTAACTGCGTGATTTTTTTTTAAAGGTTATTTATTTTAGCAGTGTTTATCAAATAAAATATGGAAGGTTCCTAAATGATCCAACAATAGGAAGGAGGCTGGTTAGTAAATAGAATACTATGTAACTATTCAAGGGGATGTGGCAGAAAAAGCCTTAGTTACATTAAAAATTAAGAACACTTAGTTACATGGATAATTGTTATGTTAATAAAGTAGACTTCATAACATTCAATATAATCCCATTTTTGTCATGTGCATGTCATAAATATATTTGGAATTATTTGCTTGAAATGTTGATAGTGGTTCTTTGTTTTTTTTGTTGTTGTTGTTGGGGCATTGGGGGAAGGGGAACAGACAAGTTGCTATCCTTTTGTTCTTCAGTCTAGTTGTGGAGGACGTTGCTTCACTGGCCCAAGTTGGCACCATCATTGCGCTCTTCCCAGGCGATGCACATCAGTCGCCGGCTTCTGGATGGCCGCTCACAGCGGCTGCTGGCCGCTCACTCTGGCTGCTGGCTACTCACTGTAGCCCATGGCAACCCACCTGCCATTGCTGGCGACTCATGGCAGCCCAGCTCCAGGTTGAGCTGTTGTTCAGCATCTTAGCTGTGGAGGGCAGTGTCACTGGCCCTCATATGTGGGATCCGAACCGGGGTCCTCTGGCATCCCAAGCCAGCTCTTAACCAACATGCCACTCGGGTGGCCCGATAGTGGTTCTTGATTACTCATGTTTTCTACACATATTTAGAATGATCACATATTAGTTTTCTAATGTTATTTTAAAACAGCATAATATTATGTCTGTTCCAGCCTATCTATACCTATTTTCATCAGTAAGTAATTACTTAGATATATTGACATTTCAGAAACAACCATCATAATTCTCATTTGCTTATGGTCCATATAAAAATTTGTTTCTTAGATATAGAGAGAATGGATTAATCACTCTCAATGGTTTCATTGTGGCACAAACAGTAATAACCATAAAAAATAGCCCAACAATTTTGATATGAAAGCTTAGTTCTTGTTACATGTCCTTTTTTGCCATCGAGAGCTGCATCCTGTGTAAGGGTCTATGGCCAGAAAAGCAGAATTCTGTGGTCAAGGAAATTCTCAAAATTGTAGAGTATCACTGTATGTACCTAGGGGAGTGAATCTTTTTGCATTTTTATCTGGAGGGCTTTCTAACAAGCCTGTGAGTCTGTCATATCTTTGCACCATATTCTTCCATAAGTCTAAAATCATCTCAGTTGTCTACATTACGTTAAAATACATGTTAGGGTAAATGTCATATAGAGTAAGTAGATACAAGTACAAGAATATACCAGTGGATCAGGTAAATCATTTATTAATATAAAAAATTATAATATATTTCTAACTGTGACATACCTGCATATGACAAACCACTGGTTTCATTAATCCATTGCCACAGAAAGTGAAAGTATAGTAATCCACAGTTTTTTGTTTTTTTGTTTTTTTTATCATGACACTCTAATGTGTGCTTGTGGGAACAATTTTCAAGTTACTGCTAAATTATAATATGATTATCAAATTAGTTGACATGGTTTTTATTTCCATTTTAGTAGGACTATCTGACACATTGTTATAAATACATACAAGCAAATAATATTCATAAAATTAAACTTAAAGTACCCTTGAATTCTTGTTTTTGCCACATAACTAAGGGACGTAGCCATATAGTCAATTGCAGTGAGTTACTGTAGAAGTGAATCAATGCAAATAGTAGAGGAGTGCTTGCTTATCATGGCAGTGATAGTGGAATTATTGCCCGCTTTCTCCTGCCCCTTTCACCAAAATGTTATATGGGACAATTTGTTTGCCTCAATGTCTTCAATACCTCAGCATGCTTAAATGTCTTCATTGGTAAAATGAGGATATTAGTACCTAACTTATGTGATTGCCATTTTATTAACTCATGTAATAAATTATTACATGAGGATTATTAACTCATAAGATTAGTATATGTAAAGCACTGAGAACATTGTCAGGCATACACTCAGTGAAAACATGTTTGCTACATAAGCTGTATATATATCATCTTCAACTTAGGTAGCGCATCAATAATCATTCGGGGAGATAAGGGAGGAGAAGTTGGAATAGCACCATCCTCCAGGCATGTCCTCATTGGGGAACCCTCAGCAAAATACAATGGCACAGCTATCATCAGGTACGGATTTCATAATTTTTCTTTGCCTGGGTTAGGGTTTTGAAGTTTTGTGTAAGTAATCAGCATTTTATGCCTTAAATACATCATTCTCAATACATACATATTCTTCAAGCATTGCTATTTTGTATGTTGGTAACATCCCGTGGAGATTAGAACACATTTTTGGTAAAAATTGAAGACATATTCTGACCTGTCTTGACGTTAGATCATGAGGAGGCTTCTGACTGTTTCTTGGGCAATTTGCACAACCCATGCGGAGGAAAAAACACTGAATTGACACATCAGGAAACCTATGCTTTCAGTCCTGTCTGTCACTAACCATGTAAAATAGGAGGGTTACTTACTTCATCTCTGTAAGCTTGTGTGTCTTAGCTACAAAGCCATTCCATAGAAAATCATCTAGAGCAAGCATTTTTTATTCTAACTGTTCTAAAATTAGGACCTATTATATAACTATAGGATGATCATAGACAACTTTTCTACAAATTTTCTCATGAGGAGTGGAGCATCAACTCAGTGAAGTAGCTGAATTTGAGTTAAAACTACCTTTTTGGTAGCTTTTCCATTACCATTGCATGTGTGAAATATTTCCTGTTCTTTAGAGAACTTTGTTAGGCTATTCATATGTGTGTTTTGTACCTTGTGTATAAGTGAAAATCTATAAATTCTTTTTTTTTTTATTCCTTTAAACCTTCCACTTTTAGTGTTCAGCTTTTACGGAATACTTGTCAAGCACTTTTACATGACTTCAGTTATTTGAGTGTTCCTTTTGCTAGAGTTGATAGATAAGGTTATTTAAATGCATAATGTTTTTGAAATAAACGAAAATTGTTTGTTGTTCAAAGACGTGGCAAATATCTGTGGAAAGTTCCTTTAATGAAAATGTATTGAATATACACGTGTGTATTGTTGTAGCCTGGTTCGTGGCCCAGCAATCTGGGGTGAGGTCATAGTGCACTGGAGGATATTCCCGCCATCCATGGGGGAGTTTGCTGAAACATCAGGAAAACTGACAATGCGAGATGGACAGTCTGCAGCAATTGTAGTGATACAGGTATTAATATTACTGGTTTCTGTTATGCGTGTGTGTGTGTGTGTGTGTGTGTGTGTGTGTTGGTGGGTGGGGTGGTGGAAGGTGGTTAATATCCAGAGTTTGTTTTTGTTGCTTATGTAATAGGTATTTTTCTTTAAATGTTACAGATTCTGCTGCTAGTGGCTTTTTTTGTCCCTCTGTAGGCTTTGAATGATGACATTCCTGAGGAAAAGTCTTTCTACGAGTTTCAGCTCACTGGGATCAGCGATGGGGGAATACTGAGTGAATCGAGCAGCACCGCCAATATCACAGTGGTGGCCAGTGACTTTCCCTATGGCCAATTCGCCTTTTCACATGAGCAACTTCGAGTGACAGAGGAGGCACAAAAGGTAGAGTGTGAAATGCTTAAAATGTGAAATGTGTTCATTTTTGTGTTTTATATTATGAGTGGTCTTTAAGATGTGTTTTCTTATTCCTATGCCAACGTTTTCACAAACTGATTAATTTGCTCCTAACATTTTTAACATGCAGTTTATATACTTTTATAAATTTATATGTATATAATTTCAACATAGTCCTGGTAAATAGAGTTAGAGACAAAATTAAGTATTGTCTGGTAGATTAATCATGCAAGTCAAATAAAAACCTTCTCACATAGGTGAACGTCACCGTCATCCGTTCGGGTGGCTCTTTGGGCCCCGTGAGACTCTGGTATGAGACCGTGAGTGGGACCGCCGAGGCGGGCTGGGATTTTATCCCTGCACCTGGGGAGCTCGTCTTTGAAGCACAGGAGATGGCGAAAAGTGTGCAGATTGAAATTCTTGATGATAGCCTTCCTGAAGGCCCTGAGGAATTCTCTGTAGTGATTACAAAAGTGGAACTCCTTGGAAGGTAAAGTGAAAAAGAAAACAAAACAGAAAGACAGAAAGAAAGAGTAAATGCTAGGTTGTGTAGGGATTAAACTGAACTGTAAAATAGTTCTTTTCCTGCTTTTTCATAAATTTGTGTGATGTTAGAACAGGGCAGGGTAGGAACGTATGACAAAGACTAACTATTAACTGTGCATTGTCCTAAAATTTAATATTTTTTTTTCCCTGAAAGTTGAAAGCCTGTGTTTCTGTTGTGTGAAGTCACTCTGGGCAGCCAGAGGACTGAACATGCTATGGGTGTGGAGTAATTTGGTGAGGAAATAGACCTGTTCTCTAAGTCAAAGGTCAGCTGGCTTTGGGGAATTTGCTGCCACCTGACTCTTTATCACTATACCTGTGAATGGGCTGGAGTGAGAGATTTTGGAATCTGAAGACTGTATTATCTTCTCTGTGGGTAAACGAAGTATAGTAGATGCTTGCCCAATAGCTGTTTTAAAGTGAGTAAAAAAAAATTGAGTCAAAGAGGATTGGTCACTAATGTGCGCCATGTTTTCATTGAAGATCAAGAATTAACCGTATGGAAGCCTTCACGTTCTCTGATTAGTGAAACTGACTTGATGGATAAGGGTGGGAAGCACTTTTACAATGCTGAAGGGTCCACTTTCGGCAGCCCAAGAACACCTGTGCGCTGACAGCTCATGTAAAATCTTCAACTAGAATAATGTTTGCATTTACATAAGTTATAAAGGGATTTTTCTTGTGCATGAAAATGTTTTTACATTTGTTATGTAACTGTCATGCTTTAAAAGCTTTTTTAAACTAATATTTCCCGGAATGACTAGGTAGAGTGTATATAATTCCACCTGGAAAAAAATATTGTGTGCTTGCATGCACTTAAAATCTTAAATTTCCCAGAAATGATTGTGTGTTTGGCGATGGGAATGAATTTGTCCTTATATTAAATGTGTTAAAATTTGAGCAGGTCACTGACTATTTTATTTAAATAGATGACATTTGGTAAAAGTAGCTTCTAAGTGTGAGATCATATCTGTGTTATTGGACAAATAGGACTGGAAGCATTTGCTCTCTTGCCACCCTTTAAAAAAAGCAATTCCTATTTAAGTTTAATTCTGGGGAAATAATTTTTTTCCTCCAGATAAATTTCTAGGCTTCCTTTGATCTGAGAAAGAAAGTATTATAAATCTATTTTGCCTAGTTGCTAGAAAATTTGCTGCTGTGTTATTAAGTGATGTAATCAGTTTATCTATAATCCATCTCAGACTACTGATAAGTTACTCTTATCGTTTAATATTTTAATTTCCCTGTATTTTTGCCCTGTATGTAATCATATCAACCAGCTTTCAACCTTTCAAAACTAGGTAGATAGATAAAAGTACCAGGTAAATAGAATTTAGAAATTGAAGGAAGGACTGCAATTGTTTAGTGCCGTTTTTTGGGGGCTTTTTTTTTTTTTTTAGCTTCAGGAATTAAAGTGATGTAAAACTCTGGAAAACAAAACTTTTCTTTGATGGGAATTATATAAATCTAAAACATAGAGCTTTCTTTACATAAATATATCATTAGACAGGTAAACTATCATCTGTATTGAAGAATAGAGGCATTGGTTGTAATTAATTTCCACAGATACTAAAATATTTTCTTGAATCTTGAAGATTCAGCTTAAAATTTCTTTAGTGGCATGCCACTCATTATTTTGTTAAAGTAACCCTTTCAACCCAACACTGTAAATTTCCTGCCCAGCTGGTTTCCATCCCTGAGTGCACTGCAGTTTAATGTACATCCCATTTTAGTCCATTACTGTAGTATGTGTTCAGCAGTGCTTTCCTAGCCCCACGGGCTCATTTCACAACTTTTTCCCAATTTCCTTATACTTTTATTATCTTCCTATTGCCTAAGTCTAATAACTTTATATTAGTTTTCATTTCATGCAAGCAGTGATAATTGCAAGCAGCAGTGAAATCTGTTTTAAACATCATTTCAGGAAAAAAAGGAGTATTTTAGTGTTGGAGATTTTCAAAACGACTAAAATGCTTGATAGGATTAAGTTATAGGAGCTAAGAGGACCCTTCAATTTATGCTAAGCAATTATGTACTCATTTTATTTTATTTTTTATGACTTTGCAAGAGGGTATGATTTCACCATCCAAGAAAATGGACTTCAGATAGATCAGCCTCCTGAAATAGGAAACATCTCCATTGTCCGAATCATAATAATGAAAAATGATAATGCAGAGGGCATCATTGAATTTGACCCAAGGTATACTGCCTTCGAAGGTAAGCTCAGTAACCTTATTTATAAATTTACCACTTTCTGCGTTACAGAGTACCTGAGCATGACATGATCAATTTGAATTTCCATACATAAATTTTCTCAATTTAATGTGTGTTTGTGTGTGTGTGTGTGTGTACACATACATCTTTATATGTACTTGTATCTGCCTTTATGTATATATACACATTTATTTAAAAAATATATTTTGAGTTACCTTGGGGCAATCTAGAACCTTACTTATGTATGCCAAAGCTGAATGGCTAGGAACAAGACAACTTAAAAAAAAATGTTGTTTAACCTTATGAGTATTGAAATATTCATATTTCAAACATTTTTATGAATGTATTTCTAACTTATACAATACTTAACTTCCTTTGTGATTATAAATCAGTGAATATCTACTTTCTAAAGCAGGTTCATTTATTTGTATGTGGCACATAGAGGAAGAAAGCCTATGTTAGTGATGAGATAGGTTATGTAAATTCTAACTTGTGACAAACCATACTCCTAAAAAATAAGTCATGAAATTTTCTCTAATCTTTTTTTTTTTTTTTTAAATTGGGGAATTGGGATGGGAACAGTGCTGGGGAATTGGGAGAAGGGGAACAGACAAGTTGCTGTCCTTTTGTTCTTCAGTCTAGTTGTGGAGGATGTTGCTTCACTGGCCCAAGTTGGCACCATCATTGTGCTCTTCCCGGGTGAGGCACATCAGTCGCAGGCTTCTGGACGGCCGCTCACTGCGGCTGCTGGCCGCTCTCGCTAGCTGCTGGCTACATACAGTAGCCCATGGCAACCCACTGCCACAGGGGCTGCAGTCTACGCCGTTGACAGCGACTCACGGTAGCCCAGCTCCAGGTTGAGCTGTTGTTCAGCATCTTAGCTGTAGAGGGCAGTGTCACTGGCCCTCATATGTGGGATCCGAACCGGGGCCCTCTGGCATTCCAAGCCAGTTCTTAACCAACGTGCCACTCGGCCGGCCCTCTCTAATCATTTTTTAACATGATAAATACCTGTTAAATTGAATGCTTGCATTGTACCACTATATTTAATTGCCATGTTTAATTTGACAGAATCTTATAAAAGTTAGTTGCTTTGTGTAGTGTAGCAGTTAATTCCACATTCCTGTTACAGTGGAGGAAGATGTCGGGATGATCGTGATTCCAGTGCTGAGGCTGCGCGGGACGTATGGCCACGTGACAGCAGACTTCATCTCTCAGAGCTCCTCTGCAGTTCTTGACGGCGTCGATTACATACTGCATGGTAGTGCAGTCACGTTTCAGCATGGGCAGAACTTAAGTTTTATAAATGTCTCCATCATTGATGACAATGAAAGGTAATACTATTTAATGATATTGGAAATACAGTAGTCCCCCCTTGTCCACAAGAGATACATTCCAAGACTCCCAATGGATGCCTGAAACTGCAAATAGTATTGAACTCTCTCTCTCTCTCTCTCTCTATATATATATATGTGTGTGTACACACACACACACACACACACACACACACACAAACACACACTTTTTTTTTTCTACACATACATACGTATGATAAGGTTTAATTGATAACTTGGGCACAGTAAGAAATTAACAACAATAACTAATGATGAAATAGAACAATTATAACAATGTACTGTAATAAAAGTATGTGAATGTGATCTTTCTCTCTCTTTTCCCCCCAACACCCTTCAAAATATTCTATTGTATTGTACTCACCCTTTCTTGTGATACTGTGCAATGATATACACTGCCTACATGATGAGATGAAATGAAGTGACTGACCTCGGTACTGTGACATAGTGTTAGGCTGCTAAGGGCTTACTTGAACATAAGCACTACATACCAGGACAGGCAATCTCATAACCACGTGACTCACAGGTGTGTAGTGTGTACATAAGCTAGACAAAAGGATGATTCGTGTCTTGAGTGGAGTAGATCAGGTCAGCAGGAGATTTCATCAGGCTACTCAGAACAGCACACAATTTAAAACTTATGAATTGTGTATTTCTGGAATTTTCCATATAGTATTTTTGGACTTTGGTTGACCATGGATAACTGAAACCATTATGAAAAGTGAAACCTTAAATAAAGGGGACTGATGTAATATGGGCATACATAAAGCATGAATGTTGTGTTCCAGTCTTTACCTATGTTTTACATTGATAATAGAAGTTTAGATTATACATGTGCCAGTTGAGAAACAAGTGAGAAACTTTTGGGGGGGTGTTGGGGTAGGGAAAAAAGTATTGGGTAACCATTGTGATCGTATATGTCACTTTTTTCAAAATAGTGTTCCCTGTAGATTTGAAAAGTCTAATAAGAATGCAGAAACATCCTGCAATTTACTTTTTTAATGCATAAAGCAATTAAAAAGAGGGTCTACTAGGTGGCCCAAGTTATGTAATATTGAAGCTGATCATTCATGCTTTCAGCTGAGCACCCTCTTTATCTCACTTGGTGTGTGACTACTGTGCCTTGCATATGTATGACCAATTTGGAAAATGACTAGTTATTTGGATTTTAGAAGCATTTTAATATGTTTAGACTAACAGAATTGCTCTTTGTTGCTATGCAGTGAATTTGAGGAGCCCTTTGAAATTCTGCTAGTTGGAGCGACTGGTGGAGCAGTGCTTGGGCGCCACCTAGTGAGCAGAATCACAATTGCCAGGAGTGACTCTCACTCTGGCGTTGTAAGATTTCTCAATCAAAGCAAAATTTCTGTTCCTAACCCCAATTCCACACTGATTTTACCCTTGGTGCTGGAGCGAACTGGAGGACTCCTGGGAGAGATTCAGGTAGAGCTATTATTCCCATGGTTTTAAAAATAATTTTTGATATTTGATTTTGGGGTTGGATTTTCTTATTCCTCAAATATATTCAGTTATTTATTCACAAGCAATAATACTTATTAATTACCTAGTAGATGTATAGCTTCCAAATCCTATGAGGTGTACAAAAATATATGAGGCACTCAGCTATCTTCAGTGAACTCTTGAGAGCAAGTTAGAAATTAAAGAACAGATTCTGGTAAAAATACATTAATTCAACAAGTATTTGTTGAGCGCGTTCCATGTCCACACCCTGTTCTGGGCACTCAGCGCACACTGGTGAACAGGACAGACCTCGTCTCTGTTTTAATAGAGTTTTTAGAACAATAAGCAAGAAAATTATTTGATAACAAGTGCTCTGCAGGAATGCAAAAATTGAGACACACAATCATGAATGTTCTGGCTACTCTCTAGATTGGATGGTAAGAATGTGATATTCAAGCTGAAATGTAGATGATGAGAAACAGGTGGGCATGGCATTGTCAGAGGCATGAGCATTTGGACAGAGGGAGTAGCCAAAGCAGATCTACAAACCTGGCGTGTTTGAGGTCTGGAGAGGTAGGTCCATGTGGCGGGGGTTCTGGATGTACTGGGATAACAGCACAGGATAGAACAGTGGGGCTACTAAGTGTTTGGTCACAGAGGACATCCTAAAACAGATTAAAAATTTTATGCTACGGGCAAGTAGGATGCCATTAGAAAGTTTTAAGCAGGGGACTAATCTGGATGTCACTGGGTTGTCATTTTAAGCAACTCATTTATGACAGCTGAGAGAAAAATGGACTGCCAGGAAGCCAGATTCGAAGCAGCAGGGGCAGTTAGGAGGCCATTGCCTTCTATTGCCCAGGGCAAAGCCGACAGCTCAGACAAGGGTGGAAATGGACATGACAATAAGTGAATAGACGTTGAGCATATTTTGAAAGAAAAATCCATTGGTTTAGTGGAGGCTGAGGTAAAGAGGGATCAAGGATAACTGCTAAAATTTTGTTTTGAGCAACTGGTTAAATTGTAATGCTGTTTATTGAGTTGCAGGAGCTTGGAGGGAAATCAAGAAGAATTTGTTTTGTCCAGGTTAATTTGAGATAGCTACAAGACATCCCAGTGGAGGGGTCAGGTAGTCAGGGGTTGTGCACATTTGGGCTCTGGGGTTCAGGGCTGCAGACATGGAAGGTGTTGACATATATGGAGGAATCTGAAACTATAGGGTCTAAGTAGAATAGGAAGCAGTGTGAGGGATACAGACCTGAGCCTCAGACTCCCAGCATTTAGGGATCTGAGGAAGGAGAGTCAGCAAAGCAGACTGAGAAGTAAAGGAAGAGGAAACCTGGGGAGGTATGTATCATGCAAGTATCACATAAGCCAACAGAGACAGGATGCAGTGTTTTAAAAAAAAGGAAGTGGTCAGTTTTGTCCAATTCCGATGAAAGATAAAAGAAGCAGAGAGAAAGACCCGATTTTCTTTTTTTGTGGATTATGAAAAGCATTCAATATTAAATTACAGAGACTTTTAAAGAATGCATTTATTATAATATAAAATTGTGTTTCTTATAGCAATTTATGAAAATTTCTGTTCATTTTGTACTAGAATTTATTTAAGTATATTTAGAAGCAGATGCACACTCAGCCGAATTTTCACATGTTTTTAGTGTCTTATTCAGTAGGTTTTAATTGACAGAACCCGTACACATAGCAAGACAGTGTTGTACTCATATATTTTTTAAAAATTGTATTTCTTATGTACAGAAGGTGCCAAAAAATGTATACATATTTTAAGAAAGTAAAAAACTGTATTAAAATTGTAATAATATATACTGATACCAAAAGATGAATACAAGTCTTGTATACATATCACACACACATATGTGTGTATATTTATATATAAATATATATATATGTATATATATATATATATATATATATATATATAAAATATGTACCTTTATATTTTTGTTATTCTGTGGTGTTGAAAAATGACACATTTTCTTGTTAGACATTGTTATTCATGAGAACTGATAGTCTATAGGTATACATTTTATATTTGCAAATATTGTTAAAAAACATGAGTTGATAACAGAAATTTGCTGGAGATATTCTGGAATAATTTTCATGTATATGTATATTTTTTCTAATACTATTATACACATCTTGCAGAGTAATTCTTGGTTTAAAACTGATCATCTTTATTAAAAAAACAAAACCTGCAGGTGAACTGGGAGATAGTAGGACCCAATTCTCAGGAAGCCTTACCACAACAGAACAGAGACATTGCAGACCCAGTGAGTGGGTCCTTCTATTTTGGCGAGGGAGAAGGTGGAGTGAGAACCATAATTCTGACAATCTACCCTCATGAAGAAATTGAAGTCGAAGAGACTTTCATTATTAAACTTAAACTTGTGAAAGGAGAAGCTAAATTAGACTCCAGAGCCAAAGATGTTATGTTAACAGTAAGTCTGACTTTATTTTCCCACAAAATTTTGGATTTAATGGAGTTATCAGAAAATGAATTTACATTTGTTGAAGCTCTACAGGTTTACGATGAATTGAAAGTTACAAAAAACCAAATGAAGTCATAATAATTCCTATGGCTGTTATATTAATTTTTTACATAGTCTGATTATTGGTATTATTTTTTTAAAAGGCTTTAATGTGAGAAATACTTATTTTACACTCCTTGAGAAAATGTGGTGTTTTGGGAACATTTGGCACTTTTAAGGAGGAGGTGTTTGTTATACGAGGTGTGATAAAAAAAATATAGTGAGTGCTGTGCTGAGTGCCATCCAGTGGAAAGGCAGGGATCTTCCATACGGGAAGCAGAGCATTGAACCTTAGTAACAGTGTGTGACAAGTTTCAACCTGTGTGGCGCAGTGAGTGGGGTGTGAGCTACGGTTGAGAGAAGGTGTGTTTTAAAGTGTGCTATAAATCATCCTCCATTATGACAACACTCCCTGTCACACATTGCTTCTGATAAGGCAATTTCTGTCAAATAAAAACATTGCAGTATGTCCTCATCCACCTTATTCACTGGATCTGGCACCGTGTGACTTCTGGCTCTTCCCCCAAAGTCAAACTGATTCAGGACATGGAGGCAGCCACAACAGTGCAACTAAAGACACTGACGACAGAGGACTTCCTGAACTGCTTCAGAAAGTGGCAAGAATGATGGGATAAGTGTGTTCCAAGCGAGAGAGAGTATTTTGAGGGGTATAATGGCAATGTGTCTTTTATTGTAACAAATTTATTTTAATTTAAACATTCATCGTATTTTTTTTATCACACCTCATATCATCCAAAACACTGGGTATCTTTGCCATCAAAGTACATAAAAACTATTAACTAGTTACAAGTCATATTGTTTGAAGGAAGAATGATAGTTATTTAATTAGCACAATAATGTATTGGATTAGATCTGAATTTGATATGAACCACTCCATCCATCAAGAGCAGAAAGTTCATGGACAAAGGCTACTAAAAACAATGCAGAGAAATGAATATCTTCTTTTAAGTCTGGAAAATACTTTTGTCTGGGATCAGTTATCAGTAGACTTTCTCCAGGGAAACAAAGAGAGGGAGGGATTGATTGATTTGATTGGTTGATTGTTTATGGGGACTGACAAGTCCAAAATCCATAGAGAAAACTAGCAGGCAGGAAACTCAGGAAAGCGGAGTTTGAATTTTGTGAGGTGGGCGGGAAACTCAAGCAGGATTCCTAAGTTGCAGCCTTGAGGCAGAATACCTTCTCCTGGAAACCTCAGTTTTTGTTAATCAAGGCCTTCAACTGATTGGATGAGGCCTACACACATTAATGAGGATAATCTTTACTTAAAGTCAACTCATTGTAAATATTAATCACATCCACAAAAATACCTTCACAGCAATGTCTAGACTAGTGTTTAATGAAACAATTGGGCACTGTAATCTAGCCAAGTTGACACATGAGACTGACCATCACCGGACCTTTTTGCCTCTCTCCACATTCTATTATATAACCAGTAGAAAGAAAGTTAGCTAAAATTAACTGGTTTAATAAAACATACGGCAAACAAAGCTAAAGTCAGGCATCAAAGTACCATTTTTTTGAGACTACAAATTATAGTTTTCTGGACACTTATTCCCATTATCCTTGGAGAATAAGAACCTACTTCTTTAGTGTAGATGGTTTTTAAAAATCAGGTAGCCAGGTAGATTATACTCAAATATTATTTCTATGTTCCTTTCATTTCTTCAGTTATCTGCGCATTGATGTGTTAGATACTATATTTTCATCCATAGTTGTAGAATATGTTATTCACTCTGCCCTCTGTTTCTATTCCTAGATACAAAAGTTTGGTGACCCCAATGGAGTGGTTCAGTTTGCTCCAGAATCTTTATCTGTGAAGACCTATTTAGAGCCATCGGCTCTGGAAGGACCCCTGATCATTACTTTCTTTGTCAAAAGAGACAAGGGCGTTGTTGGAAAGATTACGGTATCAGTTTTCATTTGATTTTTAAGTAGGGTAATAATTTGCCTAACAAGCATGGTTGAGAGGGACAGAGGAACTGCCTTGCCCTGGTTAAAGCTTTTGATAAACTGAAGGGACGTTGAGTTTTCAGAGAAGGTTCCTTTAAGTACCTGTGTGTGGGCTTTCTAGCCAGCATCAAACCTCTAGCAGTCTCTCTAAATTCTGTTACAATTGGGTTAAAAAGATCCTCCTCACACTTAATCATGAAGAGTATGGCTAAACTGTTTTGTAATTTTTTTGTTTGCTATAACATGAAGCTTTTCCTACTTAAACCCCTCAATGATTTTTTTGTAAATTGCTTAACATATTTTTCAGGACTTTATCTCGCAATGTCATTTTTTTCCACTTAGCAACCGATTTTTAAGAGGTTGCACTTGTGTGTATATTGATATGGGACATTTGAGAATGCCCTTGTAAATCATTAGGAGATTTGTCTAATAGGTCAAGCTTACTTGTTTTCTAGAAATACATATTTTGTGAAATTTCTCTATACACTTACTTCTTTTCCTGCAACTGGTACTTGTTCAGTTGAAGCTTTGTGGTTTGGAGGTCAGAAATTCTTGGAAAATACATCCTAATTGTGTAGTGAAATCTTATAGATATTCCCTTTCAGTTAAAAAACAAAACCAAATTCTGATGTGATGCATCAGATTATCTACTCACTTTTTACCTTCAAATATTGTATATGTATGGCTCCCTACTGAATGCCTTTTGTGGTACTGGCATTTTAAAGTTACCTTGCTCTTCTTTATCTCTTAAAATTGTTATTATTTTAGAAGGAGGTGAAATGAGATTTTGTCATCTTGTCCTGCAAATTACATATGACAGCCTAAAAGAGTTAATATCCTTTGATGATGCTGACATCATTCTTCCATACTTTCTAAACTCACTAACTGCTCAGAGAGCTTGGCTTTGAATAATGACGCACAATTAAAATTTCTTTTTTGTATATTATAGGGGGAAATGTAATTTAAAGGATTTTGCTTTGACATATTGAATTACACAACTGTGTTATATATTTTTTCTTTTTATTTTAGGTTTACTGGGAAATAAGCAGTGAGTTTGATATTACTGGAGACTTTCTTTCTACAAAAGGATTTTTCACCATTGCTGATGGAGAGAGGGAAGTGAGCTTTGATATTTATTTGCTACCAGATGATATACCCGAAATAGAGGAAGATTATGTCATCCAGCTGGTTTCTGTAGCGGGAGGAGCAGAACTGGATCCGGAAAAATGCTTCACATGGTTCTCTGTTTCTGCAAATGATGACCCACATGGTGTGTTTGCTCTGTATGCAGATCGTCAGTCAGTACTGATTGGGCAGAACCTTAGTAGATTCATCCAAATTAATGTAACTCGGCTTGCTGGAACTTTTGGAGATGTGGCTGTTGACTATCGAATATCATCTGATCATGAGGAGCAGTCGGTTGTTACTGAAAATGCAGAGAGGCAGATGGTGGTCAGAGGTGGTGCCACATATAAAGTGGACACTGTGCCAATAAAGAGTCAGGTTTGTCATATTTTTTATTTATTTATTTATTTATTTATTTATTTTTTAGTTTCCTGATCATTGCAATCAAACTCTTTCAGGAGAGCTCTTACCTCATGATCAGTTTAAATCTCACTCAATGTTTAAATGGAACCATGCAAATTGCCTTGGAAAATGCATAGTAATTATTGGATAATAACTAGAGGGAAGTATTTGCAGATTCTCAGTGAGTATATATGTTCTAATTTGGAGATAAAATATTTTTGTCTAGATAGTACTAGGCATTTTAGTACTTACAGTGGTCCAGGCATTGTTCTAAGTGCAATATAAACACACACTGACATGCACACATGCACATACACACAGACTGCTTGTTGAAGGGGAGAAATTTGTAGGCTTCCATGTGCCCTTGTGAAAGGGCAGAGCAATGAGAGAGACTGACGTGTGATCCCTTGAGCTGGGAAGGGCTACAAGAACACAGACACCGGTACCTTTTTCTCTCTTTGCAAAACTGGAACATAGGAAATTGACTCTGATTTTCTGAGATGGTAATGAAGACAGCGGGCAGCAGACTGCTCTGGCAACATTTGTAGTGAAAGTGATAAGAATGCATGGATTTCCTGTGGGTCAAGATACTTCAGCATTCTTTCTCAATCTGAGCCACAGAAAGTATAATAATTTGAGTGACTGTGTGTCTTACTCCTCCCAATAATGGTTCATAACTAGTATTATTATATATGCATAGGAGAGAAGTTAGTTTATTTCATGCCTGGGATGCCTTATGGCACCGGGGATCTGGTTGAGAAAGGCTGCTCCAGAGGTGAACCAGATTAGAGCCATCTTGAGAAAAATCTGCAGGGTGGATCATAAAGCTAGGAGAGAACCAAAAAGGTCATTATCTCTGTGAGGGAATGTTGATGAGTGGAATTCTGAAGTCTCTGAGGAACACTTGGATCAATTCCATAAAAAATCGAGAATTGGGGTGCCTGTCTTCATGGAGGGGAGAGTGGTTGGCCAATGTTAGCCAAGAAAAGACCACAGCAGTGAGGCAAAATTTCTGTCATTCTGTCTCAAAGCACCCCTCCCCTGTCCCAAACCTAAAAGTGCCAGAGATTGGTGCAAGGTCTAAGGGGGACTGGAGAATTATTGAAACATCATACTGTAGATCCTGAGCCATAAACCCAGCGAGAACTGGGATAGAGAGGGGAGCTTTAACTGAATATGAGATGGAAGTTATGATTGATATTGGTCTGGCCAGACTTCCTGAAAGTGACAGAAAGCTTTGAGATCTACCTAGAACATTGTCAATGGATACTGGAAAGAAAACCTACAAAGCAGTAACAGGAGAAAAATTCAGCAGCTTCCTGTTTGTATTTCCACTAAACGTAGCCCTCTCAGTTGATGACCTTTAGTTTCATGTAAACTTACGCTCAATAGAAAATAGGCTGTCACTCAGAATAAGCAACAAGCATATTACATTAATTTGTACCTACTATGTAGCCTTTTGATCTTTTATGTACCTGAGCCTTCACTTTTGTTTAATAAAGGAGAAAAATGAAGGCTTCTTAGTGAGACCTACACCCCTGTAGTACTTTGGAAAATTAATGCCATAACCCCATTGTATCAAATTGTAACCTCTGTTTCCTATAATATATCCAAAAATTCTCAAGACTGGAATAAAGAGTGCAAAGTTGGGGAAATAAGTGGATTAATTTAACCAGGATATCATTTTATTAAGTCTCATTTACAAATTACAAGACTTTTCTTTTTTTTTAAATACAATGTGCTTAAATTATGTGACTTGAAACATTTTCTATGTAAATTTCTATGTATACATATCTATGTAACATCACCTTCTCAATGCATTCAAGTTATAATCTCTGCCACTGCCCATTAGGGGACATTTCCTTTAGCTTTTCTAGGAATAGATTTTTCATATGCCTTGTATTTATAGTAAGATTTCATTTGAAAATAAAACATGCCACATTGAGCATTCTATTCTATGATTTTTCTAAGCAATGTGGACAGTACAACATTCTTCTCAGACTTTGTATAGGAAAACCAAAATATGTGACACATATTGTGTGAACTAAAACCATTGATTTGCTTCACGCTGAGATTGTCTCTTGTTGTGAAGGCTGCTTGGAACATTTTGAAGGGTGGTAGTCCTCTTTTCATTGCACTTTGAAAGCTTAATGGTAGTTTATAAGGAACTTAGCTTTCCAGTACCAATTTGAATTCTCATCTATGAATTTTTTAATATCTTTGAACCTACTTAAATTATTTTTGTGATTTCTATTTTCAATAGAGTAAAAGTTTATTAACTTGTACATACATGAACTATTCCTCTTATTTGCTTATTATACTGTTCTTCATTAACATTTAAAATTGCTTAGGTTCCTTTTCTCATTCACACTCCAGGATGTGTTATGTAAGACTGCACGTAGATTATTCAGTGGTTTTATGTGAGTTAGTCTTCTAAGATAGCTGTTTGGGGCAGGGTGTGATATGCCCATTGCCAAGGGTAGGATTTTTTCAGTGGTCCCCTTCTTCCTCACCCCCTGGACATAATGCATTGCTCTTTGAAATTTGAAAGATATTAGTTAAACGAGTTAAATACAGTTCTCCCTGCTCCACCTTCGTGGTAAATGTTAGGGCTTTGGGCAGGTCAGCCATACAGAAGGGCAGTGGGTCTTTGAACAGAGGAAGTTTCTATTAGGCTCTGAAAACTTAGAAGACTCTTGATGATGGTTTAACATCAGAACCAGAGACTGTAAATTGTTTCCTTACCAGGTTAACAACAAACTTCCTATAGGAGGCATGTACTAATGATAAAAATCACTGCCACACAAAAGAAACAAGTCCAAGTTTAAAGGAATTTCAGTTAGAATGCAAGAAGAATTTTATATTCGTGGTTGAGTCATTTATTCAAACCTTTATTGAGCACTTACTATGTGCCAACCATTGCGAGAAGCACAGCAGATACGAAGGTGACAAAGGCACAATTCCTGGTGTCACATTGCTCCCTGTCTAGTGCAGCAGAAGGCCCTTCAACCGCCAGTTATAAAAACATGAGGGTCAGCTGAGTGGCTCAGTTGGTTAAGAGCTCGCTCAAAGGTTTGAGCTCTGAGCAACAGCGGTTCGAGTCCGGCCCGAGCTGAGCAGCCGCTGAGCTGCCAACAGGTGGCAGGATGGCTCAGCTTAAAAAAAACACAGCAAAATAAAAAAAATAAAAAAAATAAAAACATGAGATGTGCCCAGGATGTTATGGGGCTGAAAATTCTTTCTATTGGTGCCCAAATGCTATCACAAATGATTGGAAGTTTGTAGAATTGTATTGGTGATGCAGTCCTGGATCAGGGCAATGGAAGGGCATACTGGAGAACTCAGTCACTCCTACGTGCCTTCAAGTTCCTTTTCAGATTAATCTACCTGATTTTCTCCTGCAAGAAAAACAGCTTTTCCTCAAATCCTGTTACTTCTCTTCAAGTTTCATGTTTAATTACTGCTCCCTGGGAGTCTGCTGCATCACACAAGTCTGTGTGTGATGTATGGGCCCATGAAGAGAGGAGCTGGGTGGGAAGACACAAATGACTGGGTGCCTGGCCCTTCATTCTTTAGGAAATAGGGACAAAAATTGTTAGCTACCCAGCCAGTGAACAGCATGGGGAAGGGGCACCCCCTCAGAGGAGAGGTGGGAGGCACATGATTGAAGTCAGGACACTAATTTCTGTTCCTTAGCACTTGACCGATGATTCACATTCAGTGAATGCCATTTTGAAAAAAAATGATTGATTAAATGGATGAGACATCTGTTACACCCATGTTGCACAACATTTGAAACCAGTATGCTACATATTTTGCACATTTGGGGAGTGCGATGTACGTTATATTTGAAAGAAGAACTGACTCCACAGAAATTGTTAATTTTACATTCAGTAATACAATACTCCAGGATATGGGATAACTTGGGGGCTTATCCATTATCAATAACAGTGTTTAACAGGAAAATGTATATTTCAAAAAACTTTTAAAGCAACACCAGGTTTTAAATCCAGGATTTCCCCTATTTTGTTGGATTCTAAAACTTTGAAAATTGGTAATCTAATACATGCTGTTAGGAATGATTTGTCAAATATACAAATAATCAGTACACCTAAATCATTATCCATTTTGAGTAAATATCAGTTATTAGTTACAGTGAAGAGGAAGACAGTGAGTTTTGCTGGTTTTAGCAGATGGCTGTATTCACCAGTGAGCTCTTACCATTCCTGGGGCCATGATTCTTTCACTAATTCTACTTCTGTGAGTCATCGTCCCTGAGGCTCTTCTGGTACTCATGGAGAATCTGCAAATGGGTGCTTTTTATAGCCTATTACTAGCGCTCTTTACCCCACAGTTGTCATACTGGCGATTGGGTTTAAGACATGGGGGAAACGGAATAGATTGATGAAGCTGATAGAAAAGGAACCAGAGGCAGTGTGGTAATAACTTGTGCCAAATAACATTTTTTTTCTCTGAAAATTATTTTTTGCTACTAAAAGTCGTTGATGCTGTTTATTTATAGGTCTTCCTAGCACTGGGCTCTACTGTCACCTTGCAGCTGGTGACTGTGATGCTTGTTGGTGGACATTTCTATGACATGCCAAAAATTCTCCAGGAAGCAAAATCTGCTGTCCTCCCTGTCCCTGAGAAAGCGGCCAATTCTCAGGTAATTGGCTCTGGGTGTGGTGCTCCCCGGGAACCACTAGAGGGCAGGAAGCTTTTACAGGAAGGACCAAGATTCTTAGAATTTCTAAAGGCACTATTTCCTTAAATCTATGTAATCCTATGAATGTTGAAGTAGACATTATGGATACATTATGTGAAAATAATTTGTCAATTTTTGACATTAAGTAGAATAACATATGTCCTATTTAGAGTTTCAGGAAGTTTGCATCTTGTGAACTTTGAAAGTATAGGATTTAAAAAATATTAGTCACCTCGAGTCAGAATTTCCAGATTTTTCCTCGATATTGAATATTGAAATAATTAAATAATTAAAATTCGAATGAAACATAGTTAATATTTCAGTTTTTTTTTTCATTTATACTAACTTTGTGAACGTTTGTCTTTAATTTTCGGTGCTCTTTAGCCTGTGGTAAGTTTGTGCAGATGTAGATAAATGCTAGTGGTGAGATCCTGTGACACAGTTGCACCTAAGCACCTGAATCTTCTGAGTTCATTGTAGGAAAGATCGTTTTCTTATCACTTCATAAATTCACTTGAGAACAAAGAACAACTTGAGGACCTTGCTTCCTATGTAGGCTGATTCTGTCAGTGCAGGAACAAGACAGGGCTACCGTCTCTGGCTGTGGTCAATGTGTACTTTTGAAACCATTATGAGGCATGACTGCATCCTCCTTTTTCAACTGGGAGCTCCTTCAGCTTGACCGAGGCAGGCCTGGGTCCAAGATGCAGCCGTGGAATCTGTGCAGATGAAGGGGCAAGAGAATGGACAGATCTGGCCAGCAGCCTGTGTAACAGGGTCTCTGGCCACTAAGGGGATGCTCTTCACGTATTCCCTCCTGAACTGCTTCTCTACAGGGAATGAATCTGCTTTGTCCCTTAAAGTAGAATCCACCAGCATTAAAAATAACTGGAAGTAATAGGTTTCTTTCTGCACCTCCTCTTTTCAAGAGGAAATGAGTATAGAATTTAATAATGCTTTGAAGTTTTGTTGTCTTCTTTTTGCTCCTAGGTTGTTATAAGAAAGATTCCTTTCAACTTGAACCATTCATTTGGGACAGTAAAATACTTCCTACTCCTTGTTCATGCACCTTGTCACAACATTGTATCATTGTGTCACCTCAGAGGACAAGATAGGGCCAGTCATGGTGTACTCCTGTCCTTGTTGTGTCCTCTGTACTCCTTACCAGTGTTTGTATGGGAGTGTGTGTGTGATTTTGTGAGTAGGATGCTTTCAAACAGCCTCTAGCTTTGTGGTAAGCATGACCTCAGATATACCAAAGCTCTCAGAAATTGCTAAGCAGAAGACTCACTGTACTGAAGAATCTAGGATGGTGTCAAATTGAAGTTGTTGTTGTTGGTTTTTCTTAATACCATTTCAATTTGAAATGGGCAGAATGAGTTTTCATATAGAACTGTGGACCATATGGTATCCCAATTTTATAGATATTAGGACCAAAAGAGGTAAACTAAGTTATCCAAGTGAAGCCCAGAATCTGGTTTCATTCTTACTCATTGACCAGAACTTAATTCATCCATAAATCCCAGGATAGCCTGAGAAGGGTGCCCTTAAAACAAGATCTTAATTGTTGTAGATGAAAAAGATGATTGTTTAAAAAAAAAATCTTTGAATCTTTATCTTAAAACAATAAAAGATACTAAGTTGAATCAAAGAGTTAAAAAAATCTTAATAGAAAATCTAGTTCATGGGGCTCATTTTATAAACGAAGAATTTATTATTATATCTTAGAAATCAAATTTCAGTTCTAGACAAATCAGATTCTATTAAGACCCATGAACAAGTCATGCTAAAATGCCATTTTTAATCTTTTGCTTTTCTTTATCCCTAATTATAGTTGCCTTTTTTGGATATTGTTAATTCAAAGGATTACATTTTGATTTAAAAAAATACAGCTGTAAACTATAATCAGAATTATAAAATAGAATATATTTTCAAGTCTCAGATGTCATTTCTGAAACATTACCCTGTAATTGAATTTAATTAAATGAAAATATATTGTGTAAACAAAGAGAAAGTTGATGTTTAACCCCCTCCCAGAAAACAAGAACCTTTAGAGAGAAGATCTCAGCGTGTTTTTCCCCCAGGTTGGATTTGAGTCCACTGCTTTTTCACTCACGGATGTCACTGCTGGAACCAGCCAAGTTGTGATTTCCAGGCGAGGCACATATGGCGCGCTCATGGTTGCCTGGGTGGCTGGATATGCCCCTGGGTTAGAAGTCCCCGAATTCATGGTTGTTGGCAACATGACCCCACAACTGGGTGAGTTGTAGTTTTTCTGACACGTGCCCTATAGAACATGGGGATGTATAATTGGCCATTCATTTCCTTGGATCGTCCCTACTCTGGACAGTGAGCTATTTGGTTTCTAATACAGTGCTCCCATTTTAGAGTGAGCAGAGGTGCAAAGGATGCTTGGTGAGAATGAGACAGTTTATTCCATCAGAACGTTTTTTTGTCAAATGAAAAAACTTCATACCTTACCTGGATATAATGATCACTAAGCAGACTACTCTGTTTATACATTAGGAGTTTGTTAAAAGTAGTTCTCAAAACTTAATTTGGACCATACAATAATAATAATAATAATAATAATAATAATAATAATAATAATAATAAAGTATACCTTTATATCCATTTACATGTTCACCTGAATATTTCTGACAGAAGAGCAACTGTGACTTTATCTACTTAATTTTTAAAATTATACCATTAGCTGTATGAGGGCCATTGGGATACAAATGTTAGATGGTTTGTACTCTACCACACAGTGTAGACAGGGATTGAAGACAAGGTTTGTCTGGCCTAGGTTTGTCCTATACGTGTATTTATCGCCTCCCACTTTTCAAATGTTTTACTTTCACTACATTTTTAAGATTTGAATCCCAATTTAAGAACCCTGAAATGATACCCTAATTTTCTCTTCATGTCCTTTCAGGGAGCGTTTCATTTTCCCATGGAGAACAAAGTAAAAGGGTCTCGCTGTGGACATTTCCCAGCCCTGGCCAGCCAGAGGCCTTTGTCATTCACCTCTCAGGAGTGCAGAGCAGAGCTGCTGGTGGGGCTCAGCTTCGGTAAGACCAGCTCGGTTCTCAGCCCAGAAAGCCTCTGACGAGTAATCTGGAATGTAGCAGTTAAAACAGGAAAAGACAAGGGTCATATTCCTTGAAGCAGGTGCAGAAACAGTTTTGGTACAGAGTGCCATGTGACCTGCCCACCGAAGACGCCATGGAGAGAGGCTGACTTTCAGAGAGTCAGCACCCACTGCTTGCCTTGAAGAGAGTTCAACCTGACCTCTTAACTCGAGAATGTTGGCATGGGGTAACATCTGCAAAAAGATCCATAATGGCAAAGTCACCTGTTTTTTAGGGGAGCTGTCTTCTCAGAAGACAGTTCCCCTGAAAAATACCTGATTTCTTCAAGGGATTCGAAGTAAGAAAAAGACCTCATAGTAGGGTAATAATGGGACTTGTAGCAGTAGCTCTTTTGAGTTTAATTTAAATCAGTATATTTGCCGATAAAAATGTCCTGGCCGACCCAAAGCAATTTACTTTTCTAATACTTTAGGTGGGCTTGATCAGAACAGCAGAGGGCAGACCTTGGAACCAGACTCTTGAATTTAGTCCTGGCTCTGCCACTTATTTGCTGTGTGACTTGGGGAAAATTACTTGATCTTTCTGTTCTTCATTTTACTTATTTGGAAAGTGGGGAAAATGTGTGTGTTCAGGTATGTTTGTATACATGTTTATGTATGGGAGATACTGGTTGGCAGAATCAAATATGGCTTTAGATTATACGTCGTTATTTCAAAAGTGTTTGGCCACAGAAAGTATTTCAGGGTAACAAATTCAACAACCTTTAACAACAATAATAGCTAGCAGTTTTAGAGTGCTTACACTAGACCAGGCATCACTTTAGGAAAGGTGTATGTTTACTCTTACTCTTCACCACAGCAATATGACATAGATACTATTATTAGACCCATTTCATAGATGAAGAAAGTGAGTCACAGATAGATTATGTAGTGGACCTAGTGTCACACAGCTAATCAATGTTGGGACCACTATTTGAATCCAGGCTGTCTGGCCACTCTGAGCTCTTAACCCCTGTGCTGTGTGTTGAGTTATCAGTGCTTGACAATAGAGAGTGACAAAAGAGGGCTCTGGGGTATCCTCTCTAAAGGCATTCACGTTTAAATGAACAAAAAAAGTTATTAGCCAAATAAAAATATGTCTGTGGCCTGGATTAGGCTAATGGGCTGCCAGTGTCACCTCTAACATAACTATTAACTTACAACAAAACTCCATAGGATAAAGCTAAGGATTAATCACTCAATCTTGGATGTTTCTTCTAATTCTCATATAAAATTTGAGTAACATTTGTGTGAGAAAATAGTCCCATTACACGCCCATTGGAAGAAGCAAGGATTTCGTATCTAGTAGGGGCAACTATTTCTGTTTGACAGGTGAGAAACTTTGCTGACATCCAGAGCATCCTAAGAGGCTTTGGTTCCCTGCGTATTGATCGTAAGAGAGAACTTGATATTTCAGACCCTTCAGAGAGCTGCTCTGGGATGAATGGAGAAACAGAGCAGAGACCTATGAGCTCTTCACTGGGTTAAAATTTGTTAGGTCTTTTCACCCGCGATCGCAGCTCCTGTTCTTACATTTCTTGTGCTCTAGTATAGTCATTAATAAGTGAATAAGGTTTTATGGGATTTGAAAGGGCATGTCATTTTTACAATGCTCTCATGAGCAGCATCTTAAATATGTGAAAGATGAATCTGTACAGTGGTTGGTATTCCTGTTTGTCATCATTTCTTTCATGGTTTAATTTTTTTTCCAGATCAGGTTTCACCGTTGCTGAAATTGAACCAATGGGAGTCTTTCAATTTTCCCCTAGCTCAAGAAACATCATAGTGTCAGAGGATACACAGATGATCAGATTACATGTACAAAGACTCTTTGGGTTTCATGGCAATCTTATTAAAGTTTCCTATCAGACAACTGCAGGAAGTGCCAAGCCACTGGAAGATTTTGAGCCTGTTCAGAATGGGGAACTGCTTTTTCAAAAATTCCAAGCTGAGGTTAATTTTGAAATAATCATTATTAATGATCAGCTTCCTGAAATAGAAGAATTTTTTTATATTAACCTAACTTCAGTAGAAATTCAAGGATTACAAAAGTTTACGAAAGCTAATTGGAGACCACGCCTGAATCCAGATTTCAGTGTGGCAGTGATCACAATATTGGATAATGATGACCTGTCAGGAATGGATGTTTCTGTCCCCATGACAACTGTAGCTATAGCAGTTGACACGGCTCTCATTCCCATGGAAACTGACTCCTCCATTACACACCCTGACACAACCAAGATAACTGCCATTCCACAGCCAACTGAAATGGTTGCCATTATTACTGAGGCAACTGGTACATCTGCCATCCCTGACAAGCATGTCACCCTTCCTGGTACACCTGCCATGTCTGATGTGGTCACTGTAAGTGCAAATGTTTCCATTCATGGGATATTTAGTCTTGGACCACCCATTGTTTATGTTGAAGAGGAGATGAAAAATGGTACATTTAACATTGCAGAAGTTCTTATCCGAAGGACTGGTGGGTCTGCTAGTAATGCCAGTGTGACCATTAAAACGTTTGGTGAAAGATCTGCTCAGAAGGAACCAAATGCATTGCCTTTTCATGATATTTATGACATTTCTAACCTAACATGGGCAACTGAAGAAGATGACTTTGAAGAACAAACTCTTCTCCTTACATTTGTAGATGGAGAAAGAGAACGTAAAGTATTTGTTCCAATTTTGGATGACGAGGAGCCCGAGGGGCAGGAATTCTTCTATGTGTTTCTCGCAGACCCTCAGGGAGGAACACAGATTGTGAAGGGAAAGGATGACGCTGGATTTGCAGCTTTTGCCATGATCATTATTACAGGTATATCTTTGGAGTGATGGAGACAAAAATGCACTTTTGCGGTACGAAATTTGTAGTAAGATCATTCTCTTAAATTCAATTCAAGAGGGTAGACTATTTGAATCACACATAGTAATCCATTAAAACATTGTTTTCCTATGACATGGACTCAGCACATGAACACATGATGCTGTTCTGAGGTGCCAGGCTAGAATTTAATGGACCGTAAATGTCACTTAGCTCAGAGCCAGTTAAATCTATAAATCTATTCTTTTACAATATAGGGAAAGCCTTAAACATACTTAAATCCATGTTCTTCCTCTGAAAAATACTTAATTTAGTCATCCAAGTACATGACTGCCTATCTTGTATTGAAACCTCATTCTGAATTTTCTAACTCCCAAAGTCTAAGATCTATTTGCCAGGAAATTCTTTGTACAAATATCTGTTGATAAATAGATTAAAATTATTTTCTTTTGTTCTGCTTATGAACCAGTGCAGTCATATAGCTTTTGTACTATTGGGTATATATATTCCAATGGCTTAAAAATGCAATCATTTTTTTAAGAGTTCCTCATATATCTTATAAAATCTTTTGGTGATAATTTGCAGTTTTCCTTTGAAAACATACTCTATTACTTGAAGTGGATTAGATTGGTTTGTCTGCACCTTACATTCATTAAAGTATTGACAGGGCCATCTCATGATTCTTGCCTACCCTGCTCTTTTATAGTTTTATACAATGTTTTCAAGTTTCCAGTGACACTAGGATGAAACAATGGACTATTTTGGTGGAGTGTGGGCCTTATGTTTTTTCCAGTTTAAACATAATTTGGTAGTACGATGGTGCCTGTAATCTCAAGTGTTGCTCAGGGCAGTTTCTTTTACTCAGAGACACTCGGGAGTTTCTTAATAATTCTGTTTTTTGGGGGGGCAAGTAACTGAATGTGTAACATAAATTGTCTTTTGGTCAACTCTCTTATTGGAAGGTAAATCAGTTAAACGGAGTTCACTTATTTAATAAATATTTATTGAACACTTACAATATGCTTGCCACTCTTCTTGGTATTGGAGACACAGCAGTAAACAAAACAACTGCTCTTGTTGAACAATGAGGATGTACTGATTTTAAACAGTGAACAGATATAAAGCATCAAGGACTGTCAAATACAGAATCTCATCAGTGAGAGATGAGCACGTATGTCAGTGTAGGGAGTGGATTTCATATATTTGTCTTCCGTTCTTCTGTTCTCAAATTGCTATCTACCTGATGTTAACATTTTAATTCTGGTCTGTTTTTAGGAAAGATCTTTAAATATTATAGCTCTCTGCACTCACTTGTGAATGTCTCACTTTTATACCATCTAAGCTGGAAAGATTAGTGGAGCACTGGAGATCCTTTAAAGACTTCAGTATATTATAAGTGTCATTTTTCTTTTCAGGAAGTGATTTGCAAAATGGCATCATAGGATTCAGTGAGGAGTCCCAGCGTGGACTTGAGCTGGCTGACGGAGCTGATAAGAACAGACTGCATCTGATTGTCACAAGGCAGCCAAACAGGTATGTGTGGAAGATGTAGCAGCCTGTCTATACAGTATCTAATTTGAGTTGATATAATGGTCAAGGTAGGAAGAAATGTAGATAAAAGAAGGTAGTGTAGGATTTGGTATGTCAGTTTTCAGATGCTCTAGTTCTTTATCTGTGATTTAACACACTTGGTTTATGAGCATGACTTAGGGCTACCTTGAAAATTTTGTATTTCTCAAAGTACCATACAGATGTCAGATTATGTAAGTCTTCAGTTTGTCATATTTGCTATTCTCTGATCATTCTGCATGCACAACCATTTACTGTTAGGGAGACTTGGAGTACCAAATTAGCTTGCAACTTAATATTGTATAGTACACATTTTCTGAATGCTCATCACACACATGCATTTGGTATGCACACATTTATGTGTGTGTCTCTGTGTGTGTGTGTGTGTGTGTGTGTGTGTGTGTGTGTGTGTGTGTACAGAGGGTGCCAAAAATGTATACACATTTTAAGAAAGGAAAAAACTTTTAATTGTAATACTCAATATATTACCGATAACAAAAGATAAAAACAAGCCACATTTGACTTCTGCAATTACAAGAGGTGCTCAAAGTGGTGACCATTAGTGCTCAGACACTACTGATTATGGCGAACTACTGCTTGAGTATAGATAACATCGCTTCAAATATGTATACATTTTTTTGGCACCCCTGGTATATACATATATATTAAAACTTTTTCATTTTGAGCCTAAATAGTCTCTGAAAATGTATGAGCTCTGACAATTACGTTCACAAACTCATCGTAGAAAAAGTGCTATATACCTCATTGTTGAATATCACTATGGTCACCTTCGAAGTATTCCCCTTGGGAAGCTATGCACTGATGCCAGTGCCTAGTCCACCCTTCAAAGCAATATTGGAACTCTTTCTGGAATGGCAATCAAAACTGTCATCTTATTACCCTTGATGTCTTGAATGTCATCAAAATGTCTTCCTGTCAATATTTCCTTTATCTTTGGGTAAAGATAGAAGTCATTGGGGGCCAGATCAGGTGAGTAGGGAAGGTGTTCCAAAACAGTTATTTGTTTACTGGCTACAAACTCCCTCACAGACAGTGCCGTGTGAGCTGGTGCATTGTCGTGATGCAATAGACATGAATTGGCGAAAAGTTCAGGTCGTCTAACTTTCTCACACAGCCTTTTCAGCACTTCCAAATAGTAAACTTGGTTAACTGTTTGTCCAGTTGGTACAAACTCATAATAAATAATCCCTCTGATATAAAAAATTGTTAGTAAAATCATTGCAACAAGTTCTTGAACTTAATTGTCAGACATAGTAGGTTATCTCTTGCCCTTTATGTTTACAACAAACCATTTTTAGCAGTAGTCTTTTTCCTTTAGAATAATTTTTATTAAAAGAAAAATGAGTGACTTTGGGTGGTGAATACACAATACAATATATGGATGATATATTATAGAATTGTACACTTGAAGCCTATATTATTATTAATATATTTGTTAATAATTATTCTTTGTCTACTACTTAATTTATTAAACTGAGATATTTCATATAATAATAATTAACCAGTGTCACCCCAATAAATTTAATTTAAAAAATGACAAATGAGGAACATTTGCTTGAAGGCAGAGATTTGCTATAATTTTTATTTTCATATTTCTGGTATATTATAGGCATCGTAAGCAGACAAATTTTTGTTTTCACATTCCTGGTATGTAGTATTTCAATAAATGCTTATTCAGCATTGAATAGGGTATGGTTAAAAAATGCCATGTAAGGTAAGTGTATGCCTTAGATTAAGAGATACACTTAAGCACAGTGATACATTTTGCATTAGACTCAGGGATCACACACTATGTTACTGCATTTGCCTAAGTTTTGCTTTGTTCCTAGGGCCTTTGAAGATGTCAAGGTCTTCTGGCGAGTCACATTTAACAAAACAGCCGCCATGCTCCAGAAGGATGGTGTGAACTTGATGGATGCACTTCTGTCTGTGTCAGGGACCACAACCTGTACAGCAGGTCAAACAAAGTGCTCTGTCCCCATTGAGCTCAAACCAGGGAAGGTAAGAAATGATGAGGCATGTTCTTGTCAGCTTCTCATTGTATTTCTTTAGAATTAGTAATTTTAAAGCCACTTTACCGAGACTTACACATTGGGTATGTGGAGATCCTTTGTGTCTCACCAAGCCATCTGTCCAATTCTCTTTGCTGGGCAATGGACTTGAGACTTAGAATTTATTACATTAGAGAATTTCTTTTATAAGTAAACTCATTATTGGGTTCCTAAAATTAATGCATGTTATATTTCAATTATTTCTTAATTAAAAAAAAAAAGCTCCTCGATTTTCTCTGTTTCTGTTTCTTGTCATTTCCAAAATTCTTCTTAGCCTACCTGCTCATTGTGTGAATGGTGCTTTGAGTCATTTTCAGCCAGATTAGTATCTTCAACTCCTCTGACTGTTTAGTATTTTGCTTTTATTATAATCATAGATTTGATCATATCCTATTATATCCATAGATTTCATCATAGAATGAAAGTTCTTTCATTATTTATATATGGTTAGAAATTTCAGTTTTGATCTGCTGAAGAGGCAGAGCATTTGGATAAATTTTTATTGTTTCATGTTGCACATGGCACCCAGGAGACAAGCATCCCCCGGTCTTTCCAAAGGAATCTTCATTATGCAATTGGTATTGGTCACTGATGACCTCACAGCTTTAGTCATTTAGTAATCATGTGTGTGGTTTTTTATTATTTATTTATTTATTTATTTTTTATTGGGGATTTGGGGGAATGGGAACAGCGCTGGGGAATTGGGGAAGGGGAACAGACAAGTTGCTGTCCTTTTGTTCTTCAGTCTAGTTGTGGAGGACATCTCTTAACTGGTCCAAGCTGGCACCATCATTGCGCTCTTCCCGGTCGAGGCAGATCAGTCGCCGGCTTCTGGACGGCCGCTCACTGCGGCTGCTGGCCGCTCATGCTGGCTGCTGGCCGCTCACGCTGGCTGCTGGCCGCTCACGCTGGCTGCTGGCTACACACGGTAGCCCATGGCAACCCACTGCCACAGGGACTGCAGCCTACGCCGTCCCCGTCGACTCATGGCAGCCCAGCTCCAGGTTGAGCTGTTGTTCAGCATCTTAGCTGTGGAGGGCAGTGTCACTGGCCCTCATATGTGGGATCCGAACCGGGGCCCTCTGGCGTCCCAAGCCAGTTCTTAACCATCACGCCCCTCAGCTGGCCCTGGTTTTTTAAATAACTATTCCATGACACTTTAATGCCTAAGGAGCACTCAGTATTATTTGTTCTTTGTCTACTAATTAATTTATTAAACTAAGATATTTCATATAAAAACTAGTCATAATATTATGAATGTTTAAAGTATCATGGTTTCTTTGTACATGCCAAACACTTAAGACAGCAGAAAAAACATGTAGAGATCCAATTACAGTTGACCCTTGAATAATGCCTGAGTTAGGGTTGCTGACCACCCTAGAAGTAAAAAATCCACTTACAACTTAAGGTGGCCCTCCATATGTGTGCATTCCCAACTGCGGATCTAAAATACAGTTGACCATTACACAATGCAGGTTTGAACTTGGCAGGTCCACATATGTATACATGATTTTTTTTTTTATATATAGAAAGACTCAGATTCAACTAATTTTAAATACCTACTAAATGATTTTCCCCAGATAGTCATGTCACATCACTGCAGGTTCTATTAAGCTGGTCTTGTGTCTTTTCATTTTGCTTTACAAATCTCTGGAGCATATTTGCTTTATAGCAATAACAGATATTCCAGGCCTATCCTGATTTTTCCTGATCTTAAGCCATCCAATCAACTACTGTCCAAGGACTTGATTTCTTTTATCTGAAGGAGTTTTTGAAACCTAAATCTATATGCGAAGGTGCGGCTGTTCTGAGCTACCTTAGTAGGGATAGAGCTAGGAAATAAGGTTTTTAAAATATTGAATTCCCACTGATTTTTGTTCTCTGATTTAACATATCATGTTATTGTGTTTTACTTTTCTTGAGTGGGAGCTTCATCAGCTAATACTTCCTATCACATTGAAAAGGAGGAACTAAAATGTCAGTATTCAAAACATTTGATCATGCTTTTCTACTTGAAAACATTGAAACCCTCTTCTGTGCATTTGCTCAAATAGTTTTATGCCTTTCACAGCCCCCAGAGCCCCACATTTCCTATCTCTCTCTTAAGGACTAGTTAGAATATCACTTCATCCATAATGCCTCCCATGATATCTCCAGTTAGAATTCTTAATTCTCTAAATTTACAAAGACTTTATCTGTACCTTTCTTATGGAAGTTATCAGTTATATGCAGGATCAAAACTTTTTTTTATCTTGACTGTTGGATTCTAAGCTGCTTGAAAATTAGAAAATGATTTTTATTAATCTTTGCATTCATCATAAATATGTTACATACATGAATTATTGAAAATTCCATTGTGCATTTTTATCTCTAGTAGGAATTTGATGAGTTAGCATCTTGGCTATATCTCACTGGACTTAAAACATCTATCTCATACAATAGATGTTAACCGTAGAATTATAAGAAAAGCCTTAGAGATCAAAGTCAGTTTAATCCTGTATTGCTATTTGGATACATGTCTTTTTTTTTTTTGATAAATGTCTTTATCAGTCTTTTGCTAACTTGGTTCTTTTGTGTGTATTTAGAGATGACAACAATTTTCACAGAGTGGAAATACCTTATTGGTAACAGCAGTCAGGTACAGTAGGTAAACATCCTGAAAGATTGAGAATTGTGCTTTAATACTGTTTGAAGGGGTCTCTACCTGCCAGAAAGAGATGGAAAGAACAGCCAATCAGGGGTGTTCTTAGAGAAGCTGAAAGGAAGGGAAATAGGAAAGTTAGAGCATAGGTGGGAGAAGAGACTGCTTCCTCTGAGCTTGCCCACCTCCTGGAGAATACTAAGGGAATTCCTCGATATTAAAGATACTATAATTAAGGGGTAAGAGAATGTAGTAGACAGTGCATAGGATGCTAACTGTATATCCTTTCTCCTAACTCAGGAAATGCTTCTGAGCTCATATCCAAGTAGTTTCAGTTAGGCAAGGAAAAGAATTGGGTTTCACCTCTTATTTCTCTTTCTAATGTAATGTTCAAATCATAGAGTTGAGTTTTCTCCTGCAGCTAATTTTCAAGGCTTTTGTTCTCATTGTCATCTCAACTATTAAAAGGCAACATATAGGCAAGAGTAATACATATTTCAGTTTTAGTAAGAGAAAATTAAAAAGAGGAAAGAAGGTTATATTTCTAAAAGAATGGAAAAAATATTTTTAAAAAAAGTACTATCAGGGGCCGGCCGAGTGGCGCGATGGTTAAGAACTGGCTTGGGATGCCAGAGGGCCACAGTTCAGATCCCACATTTGAGGGCCAGTGACACTGCCCTCCACAGCTAAGATGCTGAACAACAGCTCAACCTGGAGCTGGGCTGCCGTGAGTCACTGGCGACGGCGTAGGCTGCAGCCCCTGCTGTAGTGGGTTGCCATGGGCTACCGTATGTAGCCAGCAGCCAGTGTGAGCGGCCAGCAGCCGCCCTGAGCGGCCGTCCAGAAGCCGGCGACTGGTGTGCCTCACCCGGGGAAGAGCGCAATGATGGTGCCAACTTGGGCCAGTTGAAGCAACGTCCTCCACAACTAGACTGAAGAACAAAAGGACAGCAACTTGTCTGTTCCCCTTCCCCCAATTCCCCAGCACTGTTCCTATCCCCACAATTCCCCAATAAAAAAAAAAAAAAAAGACTATCAGCTCCTAATATGCATTTTAACAAATTACGTTTTATAACTAAAAGGAAACTTACTACTCATCCAGTTCAAATTCTTCTCTGACAAACTTATACCTAGACATATAAATGAAGCTGGTTCTGCAGACATGTTCTTCCGTAATGGGCTTTGAGAGACTATCTGGAGGTCCCAGCAGAGTGGCACAACTAGCTAGCTATACCTTGACTTTTGACCTAAGAACCATCTCTATTTTTTTTAATCAAAGGAAGGCCTTCAAGGATACTGAACTTATTCTGGGAGGTAGTTTGGTGGTTAAGAGTTTGGGCTCTGGTGATAGAAGACTTAGGTTCAAATCTTAGCTCTTCCACTAATTAGCTGGGTGACATTGGACAAGTTACTTAGCCTTCCTGAGTCTCCTGGGTTTGATGGGGTTAATAATAGGGCTTAGATTAAATGATATAATGAATGAGAGGTTCTTTGCATAGTTCTTGTCGAGGAGTGGGCCCTTCATAAGAAAGGGTTGGTATAATTATTATTCACAATGGATGGGAACGACGCCCAAGGCAGTTTAGTGACTGAGCAGTAGCTACCTCAATACCAGTGGTAGGGGAGTTGTAACACACCACCATAACACAGCAAACACAACACATTCATCCATAGAATTATACTAGCAATTAATGTCATTTCTCCTAAATTTAATCCAGTCTTGTGACCTTCAACTCAAAATTTTTACTCTATCATATCTCTAATTATCATCTCTACAGTTATTGAATATTTTCATTTTCAAGTTATGAAGAATTTAAGTAACTTTCCCTAGTCCAGGATTAGAACTTGTCTTTTGAATTCCCCCTTCTGCTTTATCTAATGGTTCTATTAACAAAATGTATAAAGGTAGTAGTTAATTAACTTAGGAAGCACACTCTTAACCCACAAAACCTGTTTAAGCCAAACAGATTTTTAAACATGTGTTACAAATATTTTTAAAAATGTTTAAGTAAGATATTAGTTCATGATTATTTTGATTGTTTGCTTCTGAACAAATAAGAGCCCAGAAAAAAAACATTTTACATTAGCGAGGCAAGAGTTCATCCTGGAATGCCTCTGACCTAACTACGAAAGCAACTTGCTGGCAGTTACACGTGACATGGGTTCTTGTGAGTCTCTAGTCGTATTTAAGACTGGAGAAATTCAGATATGATCTGTGAGTTTTGGTTTCCCAATGTACTCTGACATTGTTTGAATAGAATAAATTCCTTTTGTCTCTAGTCTAATTATGTTTGGCATCCATCTTTACATTGTTCAATTTTAGACAGTGTCTTATTTAGATTATAACATATTCTTTTGACTCTAAGTGGTTATAAATAATGTTCTAATTATCATCACAATGACAATAAGTTTTTTATGAGAAAATAAAGAGAAGAGTCCATGTTGCAATGTAATATGCTGAAAAAATAAAATAATGTAATATGCTGAAAACCTTAGATAAGTGAAACTATTGTGAATTAAGGCTCTTTTGGCCATTAGGGAATAATAGTCCTTGAAAATAGTTACCCCTACTCTCCTAGTGTATTTTTTTTTTTTTTAGTTTATTGTATTTGCCAAATTTAGTTTCTCAAAAGTGGGAAGAGTACAGTTTTCCCCATATTTCAATATTTACTGACAGTTAATCTGAAATTATAAAGAATGGTATGTGCTGTAGGAAAGTGAAACATTTCTTTAGACAATAAAAGGAGATTAAGGTCATTTACTGTGTGACTAAGATATGACTGATTCTTGGATAATACTGAAGAGTTTGTTGGATTGTTTCATGGAATAATAAGTCTCATTAAAATGATAACTAAACAAGTAAATGAGACCCTTGCTGATAAATAAAAGTAATTCAGTATATCAAATAAGACAATGACAAATGCAGTTGAAAACGTGTCAGCTTAGCTTCTTGAGTTATGTCAGGAAGCTAACAGTGCTGCTGAGATGTTTAGATTATTGTGTAAGAGTGAATAACTAAAAACAGGTGATTGACGGTATGCTGTAAAATTGAACTCAGGCTTTAGAAAATAAATTATTTGCGATTATTGAGAAAGAACTGAGGTGAAACGTGAGCAAATTATAACCAGCAGACTAAATTTAGACTTATTTGATACTGAATTTTGGGAAATTTTGAAAAAGTCATAAAATTACAGAATTGACTATTATCAATATTTGGTCATATTTATGTAAAACCTTTTACTCCACAGCCTATCCTGGCCCCAATCCAACCCCTCCAAACTGAGCCAACTAGTGTCATGGCATTTTTTGTTTTAAAATATTTAAATAGATATATATCCATTAATTATGTGTAGTAAGCTTTATGCAATTTTTAATTTTACGTTTATTGTATCATGGTACACATATTATTACGCACCTTGATTTTTTTTCACTCAGTATCATGTTTTCAGATCCATCCACACTGAAAAGTATTGAAATAATTCATGCCTTTTAACTACTAAATAACAGTTCATATATGAATATATTTTATTTATACTTATTGCAGTACACATAGGTAGTCTCCTGACATTGATTTTTCTGGTAAGAAACTCACCCAGAGAGAGTAATGGTGTTTCTTAAAGAAAGACCAAAAAATAAACTCCATGGTAATCTAAGAATTTAATTCTGTAATTATACAGAATGTGTCTCTAGATATATATTTATTTCTGTAATTGTGTATATGAATAATATAAATTCTTAACATTAGAATTATCTAAATATAGAAATATCTTAGTAATCATCATTTTTTCTTTTTTCCATCATCAGATACCTCAAGTTGAAACGCATTTTTTTGTGGAACTGTATGAAGTAACTGCTGGAGCAGCAATAAACAATAGTGCCAAATTTGTACAGATTAAATTCTTACAGAGTATTGAACCTCAAAGCCTCATGTATTTTTCTGTGGGTTCTCGGCTGCCAGTGTCTCACAAAAAGGCCACTTTAATCAGTTTGCAGGTGGCCAGAGATTCTGGGACAGGACTGATGGTGTCTGTTAACTTCAGTACCCAGGTAAGCATGGGCTATATATTAACATGCATTAAGGTTTTCTTCTTTAACGATAGCATGTGTAATGAAACAGAGAATAATCGATACATTATTTTCTGATGATTCCATCATAATTCACATTGTTTATTATATTAAGTTTTATCCTTAAAACAGTTCAATTTTTTTCACTTATATCATGTTTTAAAATGATAGTCTTTTGTATTGTTCTTTCTTTTGAAAAAGGTTATTATACAATGCAAGCTGTCTTACATAAATCTGTTCTGTAAGATCTCTAGAGAGTTAAAATTTCTTTACAATATCACTTTATCAAATCCAAAAAAAAGTAGGGGTCTTTATTATTGTTTATATCTGAACTAGTTGAAAATCTTCTCCAGAACTTCAAACACTAACTTGTCTTCATATTTCTTGAAATCCATGCGTTCATGAAGCCTTATTGCCACTTTTCACATCCATCCTATTAGGTGACATCAGTTGAAAGAGAGGAAGCAGGTGGCTATCCAGGGACTCAGAAGAGCAATGCTGTGTCACACTAAGTGACCAGATCCCAGGGTTGGTCCAAACAACACCATATACCTTTCCAGCATCATTTTTAAACTTTGTTTTAGCAGCAAAACTCTAATGTATTAAGACAAAAGGGTTATCTTACTTTGCTTGAAGCATGATAGTGGGGATTGGAACCTGCCCACCTTAGCCCTCGCTTTTTTTTTCTCCTTGACTCATAGAACTCCCAAGAAACCCAGGATGAAAACTCATCCTGGACAGTGCTGCCCTTTTCCCCTGTCTCAAGATTGCAAACCTGGTGGCTTTTTAGGCCTCAGGGTTTCAAAGGTGTTTTTTTTTTTTTTAAGTGCTGTTTAGTATGTGCTTGATTATGTCACTACTGAGTGGCTCAGACAGAGCATTCTGTGCATAAAATACAGCATATGTGCACTGCTTTGCTGTAGCGATCATGGGAATGAGGGATGGGAGATGAAGACTAAAGCTCTGGGCAGCAGGCTATCCTGGAAGCTTGTTAGGCAGAAAAGCTTGTCTTGATGACAGAGTCCACAGCTTGGCAGATGAGAAGACAAAAACTCTCTATTCTATGAGAATCTAGAAATAAACTGCATTATAAATAGCTCGGAAGTGGTATGAACACAAAAAGAATGATTCATAGTGGGGAGATTTTTAGTATTTCTTCTTTCGAGCACTTAAGATAGGAAGAGAAATGAGAAAAATTATGTGCTTCATTCTCCTTCTTCTCCCATGAAATTGTATCATCACAGACTCACTACTATGTAGAATGAAAGAAGAGGACTGGAGATGAAGAACAGATGAGGCACCTTTTAAGCTAGTTCACACAGACAGATAAGAGAGGAATTGAAGTTGCCAAAATAAGAATCTGAATGCCAGCATCTCTGTCATATTCACTTATATCCTTTCTAGATTCTTCATAAATGATTCCTTGCAAAACACATGATTCCTTGCAAATCACAAGTAGGTAACTCATATATAGCATTTTTATAACACTAGAAAAATCAACAGGAAGGATCCCTTCCTGTGGTGATGGAAAAGTTCTGTCTCTTGACTGTACCAATGTCGATATTCTGGTTGTGATCTATTACAGTTACCAACAAGAGCTACCGGGTGAAGGGTACAGGAGATCACTCTTTATTATTTCTTATAACTGTATATGAATTTTCAGTTATCAAAATAAGTTTAATTTTAAAAATTAGAAACAAAAGTTTCACACATCTGGCATGATTTATTTTCCCATCGTTTCACTGCCCCTTGTGTTTTCTCTTCTCTGAATGCTAGGCATCTATTGGAAGACAAAGACATAGAATTCTATTTTCCAGTAGCTGGCAAGAATGAGAAAATGATTGTGGACCAAAATGCTATTATATTGCAATGATATCAATCTTCATTTTACTTTAAATAGATTTTCAGGAGGTAGTTAAAACAGTAGCTGTCATCTACATACCCTGTGGTAGGTCAGCATTCCCAGTGCATAAATATTCTGGCCTTAGCATGAGTTCTCTTATATCTACATATTTATGATACAAAGTTAAGGGATATAAAGATTTGAGATAATGAAAATATCACTCATTCCAGTTATCATTAAATAATATAGGCCTATGGCTAAGCCAAATTTGAAAACCAGTTTCAAACGTGTGTACTAGCCCAAAGCACGTAAATTCAAGAAAGAACATGCCTTTCCTCCTTATTCTCATATTGCCTGTTCTATTCAAAGGCTATTTTCATATTGATTTCCATTGTTGCTTTTAAATTGCATAGTGCTGCTTGTTTTGTTTTGTTTTTTAATGTGTATGTTATACATACAAAACATTTTGTCTGTTCCCCCTCCTTTAAATGTCTGAGTTGTGAAATAAATACTACTGGAAAATAATAAACAGAACATATTTATACAGTTTATAGTAGTAAAGTCACCATCATCTAGCTTAAGAAACTCAGCTTTCACAGGATCATAGAACTAGCTGCCTTGAACCCTTTTCTGATGCTATCCTGCTTTTTCTTGGCAAGATGACCTCTCCCCACCTTGCAGATAACCACTATCCTGAATTTCATGTTGAATTATTCCCTTTCTTTTATTTATAGTAGTACCACCTATCATATGCTATTTAGGCTTACCTGTTTTGGAAATTAATCAAATGAGATTCTGCCAATTGTATTGTCCTATGGCATGCTTTATTGCGCAACAGTGTGTTTCTGAGAAATACTCATGTTGATGTGTGTAATTTTTTCACTTTTATTGTGGCATAGTATTCCAGTGGATACTTAATTTATCCATTCTGAAGCCAGTAGACTTTTGTGTTATTTCCTTCTGTAAGGCTTTTTTTCTACCACAGTGCTGCAGATGTTTTAAAAAACCCTTTTTCTTCCTTGATTTTTTGTTTTTTGACACAATTGTCACTTCCTCCTTCTAGAAACATGCTATTCTCCTTTGGTCTTCTGGAATACCACACTTTCCTACTCTTTGCTCACTGGCAGCTCCTTCCTGTTGCCTGTGTTGGTCTTCCTGACCAAAATCTGTGGGTGCACCTAAACTCACCCTTAGGTTAGACCAGGGGTCGGCAAACTTTTGAGATGGAAGAGCCGCCAGGGGTCAGCAAACTGCGGCTCGTGAGCCACAGGCTCTGAAGTAAAATTCAAAATGAAATAAAACTATCATAGTTTCATTTATAAAATTTTTAAAGGATATTATTCACATAATGGTGATTATATAAAAATATATTTATGGCTCTTGAATAATTTTTGAATTGTTGTGAGGGACAGGATTGGCTCTTCCAGGTGTCGGCAAACTTTTGAGAGAGAACGTACCCAAAGAGGTGCATTTGGCTTGCGAGCCACAGTTTGCTGACCCCTGGATTAGATCATCCAGATCTGTTTTCTTCAAATATTTGAATTTTTATCAACAGCCTTTTCACCACCCTGACCCCGATTCATATATCCAATTACTTCTACTTGACATCCTCATTTGAATGTCGAAAAGGCATCTCAGGCTTATGAAAAATAGCTCTTGATTTCTCCTTTAACAATATTTTCCCTAGTTTCCCACCATTCATCCAGGCAAACAGTTAGGAGTTATCCTCAATTCTCTTCCTCTCCACCCAACATTGAATTAACCAAAAAGTCCTACTGACTCTACAGTCAAAGTATATTCCCAATCCAAGCACTTCTTACTCTTTATATTTATACAACCCTACTTTAAGCTCCCATTATTTTTTGCATGAACTAATGCAGAACCCTCCTATCTCTTCTCCCTGTCTCTATGATCATCCCTGCTACAGCCTAACTATGCACAAGAATACACATGAAAATATGAAATAAAATGTGTCACTCTCCTGATGGAATCCTCCAGTGTCTTCCTGCCACACTTTGTGTAATGGACATACATGATCTGATCCCTGCCCAGTTCTCCTATATCAGATTCTTGTACTTTTGTCTTTCTTCCAATCATATTGACCTTCTGCCTCTTCTTCTAACAGTCAGAGATAGTTCCCACCTCAGGGACTTTGTAATTGCTGTTCCCTCTGCCTAGAATATTTCCCCTCCAGATCCTTATGTAGCCTGTTCCTTTGTATCACCTAGGTCTCTGTTCAAATATCCCATCAAGAGCTTCCCTGAGCAACCTTATCTAAAATAGTGCCTTACCATCACCCTGCATGCCCATACCTAGTCTTATTTTTCTTCATAGAATTCATCTTCATATAAAATTATATTGAAAATGCTATAACTTTTGTACTGTCACTGTCCTCTGCTAGGATAGGTTCCGATTCTGTTGATCACATCTGTATTCACAGTATGCCACCTGGCCATGTACTAGGAGTTTCATATTTGGTGACTCAGTAGTAACTAAATGCACATGACTTTGGTTCTTCCTTGACTAAATTCTCATGCTTCAATTTATAAAAAACTTTTAATAACCAAAATTTGTAGAAATTCAGAGGTATGCATGCCCAAGGTTGTTATTCTTTAGGGTATTTTCATCTAAGTGTAAACAACAAGAGACCACTTTCTTCTGCTTTCTCCTGTCTCCTCTCTCTCTGCCTTTACTTCCCCAGACCCCATCTTCCCAAAATTTCTAGATGAGAATGAAAATGTAATCATTCCCTCTTTTCCTCCATACTTAGATTTTGTAGCAAGTGTTATTTAAAGCACAATTTTTAGTATGTTCACAATTGGAGAAATTCTGTAAGGCAATAGTGACGTTTATTTTCTAACTCTCTTGATCTATTTTTAAGGCATCTATCTTTCCTAACCTCATCACTGTGCGATGTATATTTATCTCTCTAATTTATCTTAGGAGATCAGAAAAAGTATAAAACCCCATGTTTTATGTAATAATATTGTTATGGCTCATCAGTTTGTTTAAGAGAAATTGAATTTGTTTGAAGAATAAGAATTTGTTTAGGACAAGGTCAGAAGCATTACAGTTTCACTGGAGTGGTGTTGTTTAATTTCTAGGAGTTGAGGAGTGCTGAAACAATTGGTCGTACGCTCATATCTCCAGCTATCTCTGGGAAGGATTTTGTGAGAACTGAGGGCACCTTGGTCTTTGAACCTGGCCAGAGGAACACCATATTGGATGTCATCCTAACCCCAGACACAGGATCTTTAAATCCATTCCCTAAACGTTTCCAGGTTGTGCTTTTTGACCCCAAAGGTGGAGCCAGAATTGATAAAGTGTATGGGACTGCTAACATTACTATTGTCTCTGATGCGGATGCACAGGCCGTTTGGGGGCTTGCAGATCAGCTCCAACAGCCCCTGGATGGTGACATTCTCAACAGAGTACTCCACAGCATCAGCATTAAAGTGGCCACGGAAAGCACAGATGAACAGCTCAGTGCCGTTATGCATTTAATAGACAAGGTAAGTAAGAAGGAGCCCTTGCAAATGTCAGTAGTTGGTTTAGTAAGTTTTGGTGAATTAAAAAAAAAATAAACAACAACAACAACAACATATACACAGTAATAGTGTGAGTTATTATGAAATTATAATAGAGTGAAATTTCTGAACCTAAGAGTGGAATTCATTGTATCTGACGCTGTATGCCTGCTTGGAAACCTGAGTCATCAACTCAGAGTGAGTGATGAGTAATGTACTCTAGCAGGAAGGGCAGCCCAGTGACTGCAAAGAGGCACCAGATGTCAGAAGCTGCGGGGTCTGTCTGATTCTCTGGAAACAGGATGAATAGCTTTTGAAATTGTGTCTCTGTTTCTGGAGTCCATAAAAAGAGACCTTGAACTTCATTACTTAATAGGTCTTCCTGTTTAAATGCCATGGAACAGCAGCTATTGCCCTCTGCTTGTTCTTGACTCCTCCTGGGCGCTGAAAACTTTCACAGAAAAGGAGAACTCGGGGATGACCACATGATTTCAGGCACTCACATCGGTGTGGACTCAGACCAACCAGGTTTTATTTTAAGCCTATTCATTGATTTACACTTTTGCAAAAGATGGAATTCAATGGCAATGTTAGATCCTAGGAATGTAAATGAAAGAAGATGTCTAAAAATAATTATTACTAAGGGAAAAAGACCCTTGTGGGGGTGTCTTTGGGGCTTTCTTATCAAGGTATTTCTTATCAATGTATTTATAAGTAAAAGCTTTTGAGTGCCTACATATGAATTCCTAAATACTATATTTCTTACACAGTGACCTTTAGGTACTTAAAATGTTTACACTGGATTTTAGATCATCATGCCTAATTTACTTATTATGTTGTCCCTTAAAATACAGTGCCTGAGTGGTAGAAAAGAACATTATAAAGCACACAGGCAGGAAGAGGAGGACTTGCCAAAGAGCTTGTAAAGCAAAGAGAAGTGACTGCTGTTTCACACAGAGTTCTAGAGATCATAATTCACTCTGGGAAATTGTGTTACTTTTATTTTCTAATGATGCAATGGCATAGGACAATAACAAGATGATTTTGGTGAAGAAGATGGAAAGAATGTACAGTTAACTACATTTTAGAATACAAAACCTCATTTTGTATGATTTAGATATGACATAAGGACTTTTGCTATTTTTTTCTCAGTAAATTATATAAGAGAGCTGCATACTATTGGTCAAGAATGACGAGTAGTGCATCTTGACTATTTTTAATTGGGTCAGTCATGAATAATGAAACTGAATTATGAAAGATGCTCCTTTATTTTTTGTTTGTTTTGTTTTGTTTTTTAGCTGAGCCATCCTGCCACCTGTTGGCAGCTCAGCTCAGGCTGTGAATCAAACCGGCGACCCTGTTGCTCAGCATTCACACTCTTGAGCGAGCTCTTAACCAACTGAGCCACTCAGCCGGCCCAAAAGATGCTCCTTTAGAAAAATATAGCTAACTTTTTTTTTTTTTTAAGATTTTATTGGGGAATCAGGGGAAAGGAAACAGACAAGTTGCTGTTGTTTTGTTCTTCAATCTAGTTGTGGAGGATGTCGCTTCACTGGCCCAAGTTGGCACCATCATTGCGCTCTTCCCGGGTGAGGCAGATCAGTCGCCGGCTTCTGGACGGCCGCTCACTGCGGCTGCTGGCCACTCACGCTGGTTGCTGGCTACACACGGTAGCCCATGGCAACCCACTGCCACAGGGGCTGCAGCCTACGCCATCGCCGGCAACCCCCGGCAGCCCAGCTCCAGGTTGAGCTGTTGTTCAGCATCTTAGCTGTAGAGGGCAGTGTCACTGGCCCTCATATGTGGGATCCGAACTGCTAGCATCCCGAGCCAGTTCTTAACCAACGTGCCACTCGGCCGGCCCTAGCTAACTTTTTTTAAGTAACTGTTAGCAAACAGTATGATTTTTTTGTCATGTATTAAAATAATTAATATGAACTAAGTAACCCAGGAATTTTTAGAGGAACAAAATATATCTCATGTTATAAAATATTGTAAAATCAATTAGAAAACATTATTTGAATGCTTAAATGAAAAATTTTAATATATATATTTTTAATTAAAGTTTATTGGGGTGGCAATTGTTAGCAAAGTTACATAGATTTAGGTATACAATTCTGTAATACATCATTTTTATATCACATTGAAAATTCTAACTGAAGTAGCCTTTGCTCTGGTTATTTTCAAATCATGTTGTTACTACAATTTTTTTAATATTATGGTATATTTTCTCATACTATTTTTATATGTCAATACTAAAATCTGATGATTTGAATGACTGACTTATTATTCAGTAGTTTTAGATATTATATATGATGTATGTATTATAATATGTATTATATAAAGAAAACTGAAAATTTTACTGAGTAACATAAAATATTTGAATAAATAGAAATCTTACCTTGTTCAGCATTAGGAAGACACAGTATTATAGAGATAACAGTATTCTTTAAATTAACCTATGCATGCAATATAATATTTATCAAAATATCAGTAAGTTGTTTTGAAATTTTTTTTTTTTTTATCCTGGACAAAATGATGCTGTAGTTCACCTGGCAGAACATACATGTGAGAATGGGCAGAAATTTTCTGAAAACAAAGAAAAATGAGAGAGACCTCACCCTACCAGATAGGAAAATAAATTATGAAGTTGTAGATTAAAATGGGGTGGCACTTGGGCCGACCGAGTGGTGTGTTGGTTAAGAGTTGGCTTGGGATGCCAGCTCTGAGCAGCAGAGTCCCGGTTCAGATCCCACATGAGGGCCAGTGATGCTGTACTCTCTACAGCTAAGATGGTGAACAACAGCTTGACCTGGTGCTGGGCTGCCATGAGTCGCCGGTGATGGCGTAGGCTACAGTGAGGCTGGCAGACAGCTGGCATGAGCTTTCGTGAGCGGCTGTGAGCAGCTGCCCAATGGCCGGCGAGTGACTACTTCACCCGGGAAATGCGCAATTATAATACCAACATGGACCAGTGCAGTGATGTCCTCCACAATTAGACTGAAGAACAAAAAAAGGACAACAACTTGTCTGTTCCCCTTCCCCGATTCCCCAATGCTGTTCCCCTCTCCCTATTCCCCAATTAAAAAAAAAAAATCTTAAAAAAGAAAATGGGGTAGCACTAGTGTATGCATAGACCTTCAGATAGATGGAAAAGAATAGAAAATACAAAAATAAACACAAGCACATATGAAATTTTATATATGAAAATGGTGATATTTCAGATAAATGGGTCAAAAATTATAATTCTGCAAATGGTTTGAGACAGCTCATTTAACCATTTGAAAGAAAAATAGAGCTGGATCACTATCCTGAACCCTGCTCCAAAGTAAATACCAGACAGATCAGAGATTTAACTGTAAAACTGAAACCGTGAAAGCAGAAAACATGGACACATCATTTTTCATATATAAGTTCGAAGTGAGGAAGTTCTTTCAAAAGCATAAATCAAAACCCAAAAGTTATAAAGGGAATGATTGATAAACTTGACCACATAAAGTTTAAATAAAATATCTCTGCATATACTACAAGCAAAGTCAAAAGACCACTAATGGTTATATGTCAGATATAGCTCAATCAAACTGGGGGGAAAAGTAAGAAAAAAACCTAACTAATAGGTGTAGGGAATATTTGTTCAAATACATTTGTAACAAGAATTTTTGTTTCAGCGTTATTTATAATAAAAAAAATTGAAAAAATAATAGCCATTTAGTGGGGCCTCACATGTCCACAAAAGGCAAAAAAAGTTCATGTTTATTATTTGTTATAAATAATGAGAATTATAAGTAATGAGAATAAGACACTGATAAAATAGGCACTACAAATGTAGATAATCACATATAGTAGGGTTGAAATTTTAGCAAATAAAATACAGGCTGCTCAGTTAACTTTGAATATCAGATAAACAATGAATACATTGTTTAATATATCACAAAATAAAAAATTAATCTTATTTGCATGCACTATTTGGGGCATTCAAATAATTATTGGTTGCTTATCTGAAATTCAAATAGAGTCACCTATACTTTATCTGGCAACCATTCATATGTTTCATATGTACTTAATATATACTCTAAGGTATCCTCAAACTGAGGAGTAGAATTTCCAAATACTGGGTAGTACTTCATTCTATTGTATAAGGTCTTGTATTTTAAGTGAAATTGTTTCATATTTGTAACTTTTATTTTCCCCCAGATTCTAACTCCTTTGAAACAGAAGCTACTTGATTTATTTGTTTATTTATTTATTTATTTATTGAAAGAGCTCAATAAATTTTACATATTATTCTTATATTCACTAGAACTCACTACTTGCATTCAGAAGAAACAAATGTTGTGCTAAAAAGAGCAAGAACTTTTTTTTTTAATTAAAGTTTATTGGGAAGACAATTGTTAATAAAGTTACATAGGTTTCAAGTACAGTTCTGTAATACATCATCTATGTATCACATTGTGTGTTCACCATCCAGAGTCAGTTCTCATTGCCTCACCATATATTTGATCCCTTTAACCCTCATCTACCACCCCACCCCTTACCCTCTGGTAACCACTAAACTAGTGTCTGTGTCTGTGAGTTTTTGTTTCTTCATTTGTTTGTCTTGTTCCTTTGTTGTTTTCAGTTTTATATCCCACAAATCATTGAAATCATATGTCTTGCTTATTTTGCTTAGGAGCAAGAACATTGTATATGACTCATTGTAAAAAGTTTTTGGATGAAAGTCAGCTGTGGATTTGGGCAAATTTTTGCTATGACATAATATTTCTAGCCTTTGATTTTCTTAGATATGGTGCAGTATGTTGCAATGAGAATTATTTAAAACACTGTAAGTTATTTAATAATAATAGCCAGGCTGCTGGATATGATATGCACATTTTTAATTTTTTAGCATTTTGGATTCCAGGTTATTGAAGCTTGGTAAAACATGAATCAGGAAGCGTTGCCCCTAATATTGTGTTCTGGAACACTTGAAAGGACACAGGACTATGTTCTGCGAAAATTTGATAGACTCCCCTCCCCGCCCAAAGGTCTTTGTTGTTTTCTCTCCTGACATAAAAAATTTTCCCATGGTGATTCAGGCTCTCTACTTTTTTGTAGATAATTTGGGGGTTCTTTTTATTGTTTATGTAAAATGTCCTTTATAGCCAGAATATTTTTTCTTATTATATACTTTTTTATGTTATATATATTATGTTTCAAGACTTATTTTTTCACATTTATTTTGTAATCACACTAACAATGATGTAAACTTAGCTCTATATTTTACTGCTTGGTTTTGTATTTCATGCTTGCAATAATTTTGGTGGACTTTTCTGCAAACTGAGTCACTTTTTGTTATTTTAGGACAAGCTAGTGGGGGATGTTTTGAGTCTGGGCAGGGTGGCTGTCACGAGTGTCTCCTGGGCCATTCACCATCTCTGTGCTTTTAGACAAGTGAGGTATTCTCTTTCTGCCTCAATTTCCTTGTCTGGAAACAAAACAAAATAATACTGGTACCTCCCTCACAAGATTGTTGTGAGAATTAGAGAAGTTAATATAACATGCTGAGAATAGCACCCACACAAACCAAGGGCCTTCTGTGTGTGCATGTGTGTGTGTGTGTGTGTGTGTGTGTGTGTGTGTGTGTGTGTGTGTTTTACTCAAAGAAACTGGCTTTTGCCCTTGAATATGAATGAAAGGCTGGGGGCTCTAGAATTCTTGGGTCATAGCCTTTAATTCTTAAAACTTCACATGTTTCTCTGGTGGCTTCTGTCATTTCATTTGCAAAAGCATCTGATGTCAAACTGAATGTTTGTTCCTCTGTTAGTAATTTTTTTCCTATCTGGTTTCTGGTAGGGTTATTTTTTAACTCTTAAATAATAATATTTAGAAATCACCAAGATACATATGGTGGTGTTTCTTTTCCTAATTTTCTCTGGTATAAAACAGGCTTTGCATTTTTAGATCGCATTATTTCTTTAGCTTATCAAGGAACTGGTTTTCTTTCCTTCTGTCGGCTTTTTTTTTATGTGCATGTTATATCTTACGGATTTGTCCTATCTGTCTGTTATATTTTCTCTGAGTTCTGGGAGAATTTCTTGCGCTTATTTTCCCATTAACATATTCAGTTTGTTTCAGTATCCAATGGTTCTCATTGTTGCCATTGTAATTTGTCCTCCATTGTAAATTTTTATTCTGTACCTTTATCATCTTTTCCTTGTGGATTAGTCTCTATTCTTCCTTATTATCTTTGAGATGGCTACTCTTATAAACTTAGATCTTGAGTTCAGCTATCATCTTGACACTGTATAGATAATATACCTCTAAAAAATATGGGGAACATGGGCCACTTCCTCAGTGAGCTTAACTAGTAGCTGTAACAGACAAATAATTTGTGTTCTCACAAATTCATTAATAAAGGTACGTGCAAATTACAAAGAGAGTGATCATGTATATGATAAGGGAGGCGGGGCACAGTGTAGAATTCCCAAAGTGATGACGAATTTGGATTTTGAAGAATTAATAGGGACTTCTCAGGTATATAGGAGTAGAGTAGAATAACAAGTCAATGGCTTCACACTCATGCCTAATCAGACTACAAAGACATGGTCCCCATCATTCTGGCAAGGAAAAATAAATATCATTATGGTTATTTTTTTCTTACTCTCCTTGTCCTTCAAACAGCAAATAACCAAGCCCTTTAAGGTAGCAAGGCTCATGCCTACGGATAAAGGTAAGAAATAGTGTCAGGAGCTCTTGACTATTCTTAGTTGGAAAAGGATTTTTCTCACTTGATATTTTAGAATTTAATATGTGGTGGCTTTTGTTTATTGAAACACAGGTAATCAAGAATAATCTTCTATTATGGATAATTATTCTTGTATTTATTTCCTTAATTGCTGGTCAAAAGAATAAGAACCCTTGGGGTAGATGTAAAAGTGAGATTAATTTTGACTCGTGATGTTGACTATTGTAGTTGAAAATAAGTGATCCATGCAATGATTTTGAGCTTTATCTAGTTATTAAATAGAAATATTTTGGTAATTATGACTTTTCTTCATTAATGGCTATTTTCAAAGTACAAATGGATGTATTTGAAATATAACTTTGATAGTGATTTCTTTTAAATTCTTCATAGGTTCACCCTTATTTTGTAAATGGTAATAACTGTCAATAAAGAACACATGTTGTATTGTATCATACATATCATGTAAGAAGTTTATTTTTAAAGATATATTTTCATACTTGGATTTTTTTCCAGATAACTGTTGAAGGAAAAATTCAAGCATTCAGTATTGAAAGCCGAAATCTTTTCTACGAGATTCTTTGTTCTCTTATTAACCCAAAGCGCAAGGACACCAGAGGATTTAGTCATTTTACTGAAGTGACTGAGAATTTTGCCTTTTCTCTGCTGACTGATGTTACCTGTGGCTCTCCTGGTGAAAAGTAAGTATCTTATAATGTACTAACTGTAGCTTATATGCATTCCTTCACAGTTTATAAAGTAATGTGCAATCCAAATTGACATAGAGATGATGTAACTAAATATTATGCAATCAATATATTGTACCTAATGGGCAAATGAAGTTAATATTTAAAGAAAACAGCAACTGCATCAAGAAAATTTATACTGTCCTCAACATATCCCTCTTGTTTTGGAAGTTCATTTAAAAAAAAATGTCATCTTGCTTACTCTCATTTATATAATGAGTAGAAGCTACATTCTGAATAGAAAAAAAAGAAAGTGATTCCAAACTTCAGATGCGTTTTGATGTACTGTTAATTGTGCTTCCCCTGGAGTTATGGTTCGAATTCACCCATTTAGAGGCAGCTCTCAGAATGTTGTTGGCTTCACACTAGCTGTTACATGGCTGGAGTTTCATGGCAGAAAGCAAACAGGAGGAAAAAAAAAATAGTGTGTGGCATATGTTCATTATTAACTATACAATTAATTTGTATCTATATGTTAATATTCTTCAGAAGTCATGGTGTTTTAAATTACATTCATAAGTAAATTGGTCAGTGTAGTACAAAGATCTAAAAATGTTTATTTCGGGCTGGCCGAGTGGCGCGATGGTTAAAAACTGGCTTGGGACACCAGAGGACCCCGGTTCGGATCCCACATATGAGGGCCAGTGACACTGCCCTCTACAGCTAAGATGCTGAACAACAGCTCATCCTGGAGCTGGGCTGCCATGAGTCGCCGGCGACGGCGTAGGCTGCAGCCCCTGTGGCAGTGGGTTGCCATGGGCTACCGTGTGTAGCCAACAGCCGCGGTGAGCGGCCATCCAGAAGCCGGCGACTGATCTTCCTCACCCGGGAAGAGCGCAATGATGGTGCCAACTTGGGCCAGTGAAGCAACGTCCTCCACAACTAGACTGAAGAACAAAACGACAGCAACTTGTCTGTTCCCCTTCCCCCAATTCCCCAGCACTGTTCCCATCCCCCCAATTCCCCAATAAAAAAATAAATCTTAAAAAAAAATAAAAATGTTTGTTTCTATTTGATTTAGTATAAAAGTGGCTGATAATAGAGCATGCTTGGCAATGCAGATTTCTCCTCAGTTCTCACAGAGTAATATATGTTGTTTAAAAAGCAATGACAATTATTTAACGGGACATGTCTGATTAAAAGTATTTGTAATCTATAAAGTTTATTTTTTATTTACTAATGGTTACTATTATCAGGGTTTATTAAGTCACATTGAAATTCAGATATTTTGAAGACTACGTTTTAAAAATTTTAGTGTAATAATGTAAGTCATCTCATTATTTGTGGAGCCCTTTACGAACTGACAGGTTAATTAAAATATTGGTTTGATATGTAAAACTTTTAACTTTAGTTCTTAGATCACAAGGCACATGAAGTTCAAAGAGAGAGTCAATCCAGATATAAAAAGGTTACAACAGAGATTAATGAATAAAATAACAATAATAATTAATAATAATGATAATAACTGATATTAACTATACCTCCACTCTAGTCCCGACATTGTATTACATTGAACAATATGAAATTGCCTTTTTTCTAGGTAAAAACGGTGTAAAATATTGAAAAATTTATAGGTTCTAACTAGTCCTTACTAAAAAGTTGTACATATATTATTTTTATCCCTACAAAAGATCATTTTAAGTAGCTATTTAAGGGTGGGGTTAGGGCCTTTACTATTCCTATTTACAGAGGTAGAAGCTGAGGCTGTGGAACTTACACAGCTTGCCAACGGTTACACAATTAGCCCATGGGACTGAGCCCAGGTCTCCTTGACGCTACAGCTACTGCGGGCTACCATGCCCTGTGGTCAGATGATAGTGTAAACCACTTACTTTGTAACAAACCCTCCACTCCCTGCCCGTGACTCCACCGTGCTCCAGACTTTCCTCCCAGCTCAGGGCCAGGGTGTGACTTGAGGTTCAGCTATAGCAGGGGTGTCAAACTGGCAGCCCCACGGGCCGCATGCGGCCTTCGAGGTAAATTTTTGTGGCCCACGATGCTCTGAAGTAAAATGAAAATAGAAAAAAATTGTTATGAAGAAAATAGCGCTTAGGGGAGATCGAGGCAATACCTTACACACAATTCCCTCATTAACCCTTTAACTACTGAAGATGAGTATGCAAAAAATTACCTCGAGAGCCGCATGCGGCCCGCGGGCCACCAGTTTGACACCCCTGAGCTATAGGATCAGCACACAGAATACGCTGTGTTCTTTTATTAATCCTGACGAGTGAGTCCTGGGGCTGAGGTTTTCCTAATGAGGAAGCACCTCAGCAAAGCACCTGGCAAGCTCTGCCTGCACTTTTCGGAGGCCTCTTCCCCAGGCCTCACCACTGATCCTCAGTGTCCATTCTGAAACCAATGATTAGCAGTTCAGCTAACTGTTTATAAATGTCTCTAATGCCTTCAGAAACCTCTGAAATGGATAATTTCTTTACTTCAAGTAGGTTAGCATTGAGGCCACTGTGTGTATGTGTGTGTGTGTGTGTGTGTGTGTGTGTGTGTGTGTGCGCGCGCGCGCGCGCTTAAGAAATAGTCTCTTGCTGTTTTTCTCTCTTACACTGTGTTCAACTGTGTTGTTTTGTGAAGTCAATAGTTCATGGCTTTAGGTTTCCCATAATCACAGGCCTTTCTGTTTGTTTTTCCATATTTCTGAAAGAGTATCAAGATATTGAGGTTGTCTTAGATGTGAACCATCTACCCTGCTGTGAATATTGGTTCCTATATCTGTGTCCCCAAAGCCCAGTGAGAACTCAAGAGAATTTAAGATGCACAAAAACAGTGGTCTTTTCTGTTTTGCTTCTAATGTATTTCCAGGGCCTAGAACAGTGTCTGGTATGCGGTAGATTCTCAGTGGTCATAGTATAATGAGTGAATAGAATAAATGAATAAATCAATATGTTCCCTGCCATGTGCTTTCTCTCGAGAGACTTACCTTTCCTGTTGAGTTATCTAGGAAGAGGAAATAGCACGTATGATGGCAGTTAGGTAAGAATAATGTGGTGTGTTGGCGGAGATCTTCAACCTTTAAAAGTTGAACATAGAATAAGCTAGATTGTGTGTGTGTGTGTGTGTGTGTGTGTGTGTGAATCAGACTTAGGATTTTAAATCTATCATTTGAGAACAGTGTTAAAGGTTAAAGAACAGGATAAATCAAGAAGTAGGAAGGCTGCATAGGGGATAATTATTCGGGTAATAGAAGATGAGGACTGAAATTGAGTCAGGGACATGGGGAGTATGGTACCTGGAAAATAATTAGGTTATGGAATTAACTTGTAGGTGGCCAATCAAACATAGAAAATAAAAGAGCTCAAGACTAGTTTTTCTTACTCAGAAAACTCTGAAGATGTTGGCCATTTTTATATGCATTACGTACACATTGTCTTAAGTAGTATTCTAGGGCATCTACTAAGAGTGAAGTGTTTGAGAATTGAGCAGGGATATTGAGAATAATGGTGTCTAGAACAATCACTTGGAAGCCAAGTAAAAACAATGTCAAGTGGCATTAATGGCTGACTGAGGTTGGTCACTGTGGATTCATAGTGATGCCAGTAGACATGAGAATGGGGGTTTCCCCACCAGATTTTCTTCCTTCACTTCAGCCTGAGTAGAAAGTGGATTGTGGGATTGATCAAAGTGAATACATAGAAGGGCATGAGTAAAGGAGGTCAAGGTGTCAAGAAGAAGATAGTCATCAGCAAGTGAGAGGGCCCAGGAATCCGTCGCTTATGTCAAGGCAGAGGTAGCAGGTCCATGATGGCGCTGACTGGACTTAATCTCAGCAGATTCCAGTGGGGCAGAAGGGGGGTATGCAGCCATGTGGCTGAGGTTCATTGATCTCAGCACCACTGGACATGGTTGAGGTCTCTGCAGGGCAGCTTTTAGCTGAGAGTCACTAATGAAAATATGAGAAGCTGGATGGGGAGATTGAGAGATGGGTTTCAGGTTGTTTTGGAGGTATGTGTGACCTATATAGACTGAAATGCTTCAATAGGAATCTTGGATATAAGGGTCTAGAGCCCTGGATGAATGGCAGGATTAAAGATAGATATTGGAGGGCATCAATTCAAATGTGGTAGTTAAAGCTGGAGTGGCAGTTTTCTGTTTCTTGTTTTTTAAAGAGGGAATATAGCTGGAGGAAAAAGTTAGCTCTTATCCTCTCCTTTCTTTCTCAAATATTTCACTGAAAATTCTTAGCTTCATTTCCCTGGTTAGATAGGTCATGACCTGGTATCATTTAGGTTCATGATATAATTAAACAGCTTCTACATCTATTGTGGCCTGTATACCTTAATATTTGCTGCATAATTGTTACCCTAATATCCTCCAAACATTTCCAGGCAGGTTTCAATTCTGATTCATCTTTGTATCTCCTCACTATTTGCAAACAAGATGTATCAGATTTTCTGGAAGACTGGTTAAAAAAAACCCCAACAGAACAGATTCCTAGAGCCCACAGCACCCTCCCCAGGAAAGGGTTCTGATTTAGTAAGTCTAGGGTGTTATCTAGAAATCTATACTTTTAAAGAAGCTTCTAACTGATTTTAACACACACTGAGCTTAGGAAGCAATTTCATTGAGCACAGGATCTAATGCCTAGGGGATGTTCAAAATAGAATTGTTAAATGGATAAAGATCACCATTCAGGGCTGTTTCTCCTGCCAGTCACATGGTTAAATTAGCAATGCTCTGATGGGTTAGAAAGGGGCGAGGTAAACTCTTGATGAAAACATGGCTCCAGATATATAAGGTTTATGATATTCTTTCTTTTTTTTTTTTTTTAAAGATTTTTATTGGGGATTTTGGGGAAGGGGAACAGACAAGTTGCTGTCCTTTTGTTCTTCAGTCTAGTTGTGGAGGATATTGCTTCACTGGCCCAAGTTGGCACCATCATTGCGCTCTTCCCGGGTGAGGCAGATCAGTCTCTGGTTTCTGAACGGCTGCTCACAGTGGCTGCTGGCTGCTCACAGTGGCTGCTGGCTGCTCACGCTGACTGCTGGCTACACACGGTAGCCCATGGCAACTCATGGCAATCCACTGCAGCAGGGGCTGCAGCCTACGCCGTCACTGGCGACTCACGGCAGCCCAGCTCCAGGTTGAGCTGTTGTTCAGCATCTTAGCTGTAGAGGGCAGTGTCACTGGCCCTCATATGTGGGATCCGAACCGGGGTCCTCTGGCATCCCAAGCCAGTTTCTAACCAACGTGCACTCGGCCGGCCCAGGTTTATGATATTCTTAAATAAAGCAGAGGATTTCACTTTAGTGGTATGCCTTTTCTTCAACCTATTCCACCAATGCTGATATGACTAACAGAAGGGTCCATTTTCTAGTACAGATTGTATCTGATAGCCATGAAACAGCTTTCAAAAACTCATGCTTTAGGTTACAAGGGGTATCAGGCAATAGGATGCAAGAAAGCTCTGTGAAAAAATCATGACAACCATAAAAAAACTGAAAGTACATTCTCTATACTGCTCCTGGCCTGGTCGTGTCATGTTGCACACAAAGAACAGAGCCCTAGTGTAATGCATTTTAACAAATACAAGTGGATATATAAAACAAATACTATATATATATATACATATATATATATACATATATATATATGTATATATATATATATGTATATATATATATATATTGCATGCCATTTTAGAAGATTTCTTGGCTTTTCTGTTGTAGAAGCAAAACCATCCTTGACAGTTGCCCATATTTGTCAATACTGGCTCTTCACTGGTATCCTCAGCAAATCAATGGGCACAAGTTTGAAGGAAAGGAAGGTGATTATATTCAAGTTCCTGAGAGGTTATTGGATGTCCCGGATGCAGAAATAACGTCTGGGGAAAGTACATGTGAATTAGTCCAGTTTACAGAATATAGCAGCCAGCAGTGGCATATAAATGGAAACAACCTTCCTGCCCTGAAAAATAAGGTAATCTATCATTATGGAATCTGATTTTTCTGTAGCAGCCACACTCCTCAGAATGCATTTGCTTGATCAGGTTTGTGGGAAGTGGTCCACATGGTGAGCTAATTATAAATAATGTCCCATCTTTATGAACTGTTTGTAGAATGTTTTATCTCGAAAACAGTTGGAAATGTTTCCTTCATGTTTTATTGAGTAAACTATATGGGAAAAGTGAAAAAAAATGTATGGCTTTCACTAATATTATATTAAATTATATACCCCTCTCATGATGAAGTCTGACAGTTATAGTCAAAGTAAATGTTGTCAGCTGAAGACTGCTCAGTAACTGAAATGGAGGTAGAAAGTTTGCAGTGGAAAAACACTGAGAGGCACTGCCTTCATAAGGAAGCTACCTATTAATAGTGGCACTAAATAGTGACTAAAGTGACTAGAAAAATAAAACAAAGTTCAGAATAGGAGATTCAGTCATGACATTAATTTGAAAAGATAATTAAGTTTTCTGTTTTTTTTTTTTTAAATTATAGGTATTATCTTTGAGTATGAAAGGTCAGAGTTCACAACCCCTGACTGACAACAATGAGGTTCTCTACAGGATTTATGCTGCCAAGCCCAGAATTGTTCCCAAGACATCTCTGTGTCTCCTTTGGAATCAGGCTGCTGCAAGGTACATATTAATAATTATTTAAAATCAAAATTTGGTCCTTCCCCATTTCAGTACCATTGAGCCCATTTTTTTTTTCTACTGAGCATTAATGACTGTAGAATAACCTCTACAATAAATAAGACAAAGCAACATAAGAAATGTTGAGCATTGTGCAGGTGGCAAATGTAGCCAAACAATTTAAGTATGTGTTTAACACAATATTTACTTCTTGATTGTTAATGCTTTCATGGGACTTCACATGAGTTTTACTCAATTCCAATACCCTTCTTATTGGCTAATTTATTGGGTAGGCAAGGGAATTTTTTTTACCCCTTCCATCTGGGCTTGTGGTTCTGGGGCTGATGCTCTGTGTTTAGAGGGATTAGCAAGGGATTTATAATTCCAGTCCACATATGGCTTGGAGCCCATTTTGAGTATAAAGTCACGCTTAGGAATGGGAAGATGAGAGCGAGTCTTTCTCTGAATCTCCTTGGCCTAAGGCCTCTGAGCACTTCTGCCACTCAGGACTCAGTCAATGCTGTAAGGTCAGGCAGTTCTAGCCCAGAGGGTCTAGTGTCCAAATCAGTCACTACTTTTTGTTTAGTACTGACTTTCAGCCACATCAACTAAAATTGTAAATAGGTTTAACAGCTTACTTGGCTAACCAACCAACTTTTCTTTGAACACCAGAATCCTGGTTAGTCTCTGTCTTTCCTTGGAAAAAATAATTATCAATTGAAATTTCTAATGAGTGATGACAGATATTAAACCTAATACAGTGGTACTTTGTAACCCTCAATGTATAATTAATAATGAATGCTTCAAGCTTGAATCTGCAGTTGGGGTTAAGAAGTTTTGTGTCCTTAGAAGAGTCAAGGTTAGTGTATCAAAGATACACTAAAGGGAAGAGGCTCAACCAGTAGTCACTGAGGAATGCTCAGAAGGCTGGCACGTGATGCTACATTTGCTGTAATCATGACAATGGTTTTGTGCTAAATTAGCCAGACCTTTGAGAAGGGAATACTTGAGAGAACCCTAGAAAACATTTATGTACTATAACTGGCTCCAAAATCCAGAATCGATGAGGAAGGAATTTTAGAAAAGCATATAAGTAATTTGTGTGGTTCAAAATACAAGGAATTATGAAAAATAAGGAAGGGTAAACACTGCACATTATAATGGCTGTGTCAGTCATTTGGGATTTTTAAAACATGGAGAAGAGTGCCTTCTGTTGAAAATCTTGGGTGTGTATGCTTTGGATTAGGTAGCAACAGACACTGCTCTGTTGAGAAGACCAGATTCCTCTGTATCAGAATGCCTTTGCAAGTTTGGGTAGTATTTAGGCTGCTTCTTAAGGTGCCTTGTGGGACCTGTTGTGTCATGTCTGGGACAAGGTGTTCCCTGTAGTGTTTCTTCTTGAAAATATGGTCTGCTTAAGTCTTGAGTCAAGAGCGCTTAGTTTAGTAAATTATTTTTTTTCTTTAAAAGCCATCTCAGCACCTTAAGTATTGATGAAAGAGGAGTGGTGACAGTTGTGTTTTTGCCCTAGCTGGTTGTCTGACAGTCAGTTTTGCAAAGTGGTTGAGGACACTTCACACTACGTGGAATGCGCCTGTTCATACATGTCCGTGTATGCTGTCTACGCCCAGACTGACAACTTGTCTTCATACAACGAAGCCTTCTTTTCTTCTGGATTTATATGTATCTCAGGTCAGTACAATATTTTTGAGTCAATAAGTTTAAATATTTGTGAAAATAAAAGTTTGGTTTCCCATAGTCATTTTATATGTGTAAGATGCAAATATACTGCAATTCATCAGCACTAGGAGAAAATTAGCTTTCCCATTGTCTTATTAATTCATTCAACAGATATGTATGGAGAACCAACTTTGTACTGAGGGTGTAGAAAAGAACAAGACACAGTCCTGACTCATAAGGAATATAAAATACAGTGTGGGATAGAAGCTAGATAATAAGAAAGGATATAAAACATAGTTCAGTCTTGTGATTTAGAGGACAGGTTATGCAGTAGAATGTCAAGATTGTGTGAGATAATATGTACAAAGCAGTTTGTATTTTTATTAAAAAAACAAACAAAAAAACCCCTACCCCTTTAGTTGATATATATTCTACAACCTAGAAATACAACCTAAATATACTCAACCACTGTTAAAAAGTAAATTGTCTTTCACCTTCTACATCTAGCCCTGTTTCTGGCAGGAATAGGAACTTGAATTGTCTTAATGTCTGTCAAACTATTTACCTATAATTTAACTTTGAATAACTATAGTTATTCTCATTTGCTGTATTGATTATATGGCTGGGAGTCTTAATAATTTCTTATTTGTAATAACATCTTTCATAAGGATGATATAAGGATAACATTTCTTGCTTAATAGATTTTTCTAGGTCCACATAGTTCCAAACCAGATGGAGACATGATATATTACTTTAATGTTAATGTATTTACAGAAATCTCACATACTGGTGAAATAGAGCCAAAAGGTAAAATACTGAAATGAAATCTACCTGTTATTTTCTGTATTGTCATGGAGACATAAGTTCAAGCACTGCTGTGACCCACAAAAATCCCTTGCATGTTCTAAATGCTGAATATCATAACAAAGAGTTTTAGAAATGGAAGAATGTTATCTTGATTTTATAGAAGACTAGCAGGATTAGATTTCCTGAAAGAATGGTTAATTCATTCTGCAACTAACTCTGGCAAAGGCTGATCACTCTGGCAAATATAGATTTGCCCATATATTTGAGAATCAACATCTAAAATATGAGTATCTACTTTTATTACTTTTGATTCGAAGTCATATTTGAAATTAAAGTTGACCCTTGAACCACACAGGGATTAGGGGCACTGAGTCCCCCTGAGTTAGTCTAAAATCCATGTATAACTTTTGACTCTATAAAACCTTGACTATTAATAGCTTCTGTTGATGGGAGCTTTAACTGATAATTTAAACAACACATATTTTGTATCTTACATGTATTATGTACCGTATTCTTACAATAAAGTAACCTGGAAAAAAGAAAACATTAATTGTAGAGAAGAGAAAATGCATTTATAGTACTTTACTGTATTTATCAATACCATGAGTCTGTGTTGTCTGTTTTTTTTTTAAAGATTTTTATTGGGGATTTGGGGGGATGGGAACAGTGCTGGGGAATTGGGGGAAGGTGGAACAGACAAGTTGCTGTCGTTTTGTTCTTCAGTCTAGTTGTGGAGGACGTTGCTTCACTGGCCCAAGTTGGCACCATCATTGCGCTCTTCCTCGGCGAGGCAGATCAGTCGCCGGCTTCTGGACGGCCGCTCACTGCGGCTGCTGGCTGCTCACGCTGGCTGCCGGCTACCCACTGCTACATGGCACAGGGGCTGTAGCCTACGCCGTCGCCGGTGACTCAGGGCAGCCCAGCCCCAGGTTGAGCCATTGCTCAGCATCTTAGCTGCAGAGGGCAGTGTCACTGGCCCTCATATGTGGGATCCGAACCGGGGCCCTCTGGCGTCCCAAGCCAGCTCCCCCAACCATTGTGCCACTCGGCCGGCCCTGTGTTGTCTGTTTTAGGCTATGATGTTCTTCAGCAAGTTTTTTCTAATTGTTGATTGAAAAAAGTCTGCATATAATTGGACCCATGCAGTTCACACCCATGTCGTTCAAGGGCCTACTGTATTGTTTTGTTTTGTCTTTCTCTCTATGACATGTTGTAATGTACATTGCCTGTTCTGTAGATGAAGAGACAAAGTCTTGTCTTTGTGTCTGTTTTAGCTTCAGAGGAAGATGAATGTGCATCCTTCTGCTGGGTTCCCAGGAAATAGTGAAGATAATTTTATATATCTTACATCCACATTCTATAATTTAGGTCAGGCCACACTGAATTTGGAAGCAGCCTGACTAGCTTTTTTCAGGAAATGTACTAACATACAATTAGACAGGAATTAAACCTTTTTTATGTAAATCAGCATAGATCCCAGCGTATCTGTTCCAATTCTAATTCACAGTTCTGAGGATTACACTAGAGCAAAACACCTAAAATGATCAGCGTATGAAATGGGCATGCATACAGGCCCAAAAGTTTAGTAATCCTCATCTTAGAAAGATGAAAGTTCAGGGTATATACATGTGAGTTTTATTTTATTTATTTATTTATTTTTAAAAGAATTTATTGGGGAATTGGGGGAGGGGAACAGACAAGTAGACGAATTGCTATTTTGTTCTTCAGTCTAGTTGTGGAGGACGTTGCTTCACTGGCCCATGTTGGTATTATCATTGCGCTCTTCCCGGGCGAGGCAATCGGTCGCCGGTCATTGGTCCGCAGCTCACGGCAGCTCTCGCCCCCTGCCGGCCACTCACAATGGCTGCCAGCCACTCATGTAGCTCATGGCAGCCCACTGCAGCCCCGCTGCAGCCTACACCATCGCCAGCAACTCACAGCAGCCCAGCTCCAGGTTGAGCTGTTGTTCAGCATCTTAGCTGTGGAGGGCAGTGTCACTGGCCCTCATATGTGGGATCTGAACCTGGGCCCTCTGAAGTCCCAAGCCAGTTCTTAACCATCACGCCACTGGGCCGGCCATGGCCTTGTGATCTTAACAAGACCCTATAACATTCTATAACCCATTTCATTTTTACTGTCAATATGTGAACTAGGTCATGTTTGATATACTTTTAGGTGATTCTCCTATGTTTGTTTGTAAGCGGAGATTAGAGATGGACAGGCCTCACATTTGTTTCATTGTTTGTTTTGTTTTGTTGTCTTATGATGGAGAAGTACTTTAACACATTAGTCAAACTAAAGCTTCCTTTTTTAAATGGCTCATGGTTTTATTTACTTCATAGATTACTAAGTGATAAATGCCAACACAATGTCAATTTTACTGTAAGTAGCAGGAGGTAATTGTCTATAAATTGCTAAATAACAAGACTTACAGGTTAAGTAAATAAATACAACCCAAAATCCTTTGAAGCGTACTTATTATTTTGTTCAAGGCTTATTAAACTGCAAGAATATTCTACTTGCACCTTTTCTGTTTTACAAGCTGAGATTCTGATAGTTTGTTTTTCAGAGAAAAGTTGATACCTACCAGATGCCACCCACTTATTTTAAATTATGTTTAAAAATAAGAGATATTTTCTAAACTTTTGTGTCAAATTTTTCCAAAAATATCAAGTTCATATTCACTGTAATCGTTGTCCTAAGAGAGCCATTATAATTATGGGAGAGGGTATATCAAAACAGCTTCATTCTGTCAAATGGAGAGTTATTTACAAGAAGAATAGGAAAACAAATGTGTAAAAACCTTTTAAAGTTTTGAAGGGTAACTATGTGATGTCAGCGACTTTAGTTTTAATTCTGACATGGCATAAAATGTTGGATTTCTCTGGCTATGTACATATCGGTGTATAATTAGAATGAACTGGGCTGCAAGTCACAGAAGAGAACTCAAATATCTGATATAAGTAAACTTATTGCTAGGGTTGATTAACTCAGCACCTCAGTGACATCATCAGGGGCCCAGCCTCTTCCCACTGTTCTGTTTTGCTCTCCTCAAAGATTTTATTTTATTTTCTCAGTCTTGCCCCTACATGGTCTTGAGCTGGCTGCACACACAATGACTAGACTTGCCAAGGGAAAATCACTTATTTGCTTTCTGTTTTAAGAGCAATGAAAACTTTTCTGAAAGCCACCCAGTATGTTTTCCCACACATCTCTCCCTCCAGAATTGAATTCCATGACCTTTCATAAACCAGTCGCTGTCTGGGAGGGGATACAGATAGAAATATAGAGACAAGCAGTGCGAGAGCAGTAAGTGTCTATCTTTTTGAGCATTGTGTCCCTTGTTCAACACAGCCCCTGACATAGAGTAATTTTTCAGTATCTATTTGTTAAGTTCATAAACAAGTGAATATACAGTGTTAACCTGACATCCTCCAATAATGACATATACTCGGGACTGTGTAGATTAAGTTCATCCCTTCAAGTCCCACACTGTCTCATTTTAGCCTTTTTTAATAAAAATTCTTCTGAAATACAATGTACTCTTTCTTGCTTTCACTCAGGACACCGCAGTTCTGTGACACCTATAATGTTCTGCCCTGTCCAGTGTGGTAGCCACTAGCCACATCTTACTGAGCCTGTGAAATATGGCTGGTATGGTTGAGGAATGGAATTTTTAATTCTGCTTAAATTTTTCAATAGAATTTCAATTTCAAGTGGCTATTGTGTTGACCCTCACAGGCTTCACACCCTGATTATCTGGAAGCTGATTTCCTGGCAGCTTCAGCATTCTGGAATCAACCCTTTCCCCTAATACAGAGACCTTGTGTAGTCTCAGGTGTTTCATACTGACTTTTGTTCAACCTAGAAAACTTTTCAGGCTTGACGATCTTGTTTTACTGCCCTTGTTGGTAGTAGTAACCAGGAGGCATTGTGCTGAGGGAAGAGTTGAAGGAATAGGGGGATCAGTAAAGAGAAGCAACAGAAAGTAGAAAAAGTGACAATTACAGCCCACATTAGGTGGGAAAATAGGAAACAACTAAGCTAACAAGCTAATAACTGATTTAATAATGGAGTGATCATTTGATTTTGTTTAGATTTATCTGTAGAGGAGACAAATTTGATGATAGATAGGTAGATAGATAGATAAGATGATAGATAATTTATAAATAGTTAAAGAAATTTTCATGGGAAAAAGTATTAATATTCTGCTTGTAGAGAGATAAACTTCAGTAATTTGGAAAGTATATTTCATTCCTAAGGGATGCCCCCCAAAATAGAGATGCTTACTAGATATGCATATTCGTATGCAAACAATACATATGTTTATACACATGCAAACATTCAAATATCGCATACATAGATAAGACGATCTTGGCTAGTTTGATAATAGCAAACTACCTGTTCTTTAGAGTTTTTCTTATCTAAATCAAAGATTTTCAATGCTATCATTTTATTATGGGTAATTTTTCTTCCCTCTCACTTTCAGATCATATAGAAAAGTCATTTGTGTTGTGAACTAATTAATTGTACTTTTCCAACTGAGTCTGTAACCTATGTGTTGCTGGGGAAAAAAAGTAAAGAAAAATTATTCAATGAGCCAAGAAATCAATTTTTAAAAAACTGTTTAGAGTACACCTTTAGGTAATACCTGAAATTATTATACTTCATTTTTTAATCTTTTTATAGTAACAACACTTTTTGTCCTGTGATTTACATATTAAGGGAATTTAAACCAGAACATTATTACATTTAAAGAACAAACATTGACTTGTAATTTTAAATTATGTATTCTAAGTATAGCTATTTAATATCAGATAAGAAAATAAAAGATAAATACTTAGCGTATAGTGTTTTAGAAACTTGTCAACTGAAGTATTCACTTCTTTAAATTTATTCAGTGTATTTCCCAAGGCCACTTGAGGCTTGGGCACACCCTGCTTGAGCATCTAGATAACGATCAGACAGTAGTACAGTTGCAGGCTGTAGACGCTAGCCCATTTTCCTGCCACTGGCTTGGAATCCTGGACTGCCACCAGGTGTCACACTAGCATTTTGGTTGAAGCTTAATACATTTAAATAAATATTCCCGAGCTCATTAAGTTTAACTGTACTAAATTTATGTATGAAATGGGAGTGTGCTGGAATATTCCCAAGTTCAGGGAAAAGGCTATGACTAAAACAGCTGGCTCATGTGCATGTCTCCTGTGCCCAGCACTAAATCCCCTTGCTTACTACTGTTACCACCAACCACAGTGAACATACAGTAAAGCATATATTTGTTCTCATATAACCTACAATGAAAAAACAACAACAAACAAACGAAAGAAACCTCACAAGGCCCTGCTGTTAAGTCAGTATATTATACACACACACACTCACTCTTAAACCTTGAGTTTAAGCTAGCTTTGATCATCATGGGAAATTCAAAGTGTACGTTAGTAAGTTGGAAGCATCAGCTTCAGTAAGTTTTTAGGCTGCCTAAGTAAAGATGCAAAATCAGGCATGACTCTGCAGTTTCTGGATACACTGTGTACCTGTGTGGGTGGGTTTTGGAAGCAGCCCTAGCATCGCCACACCTGTCCCAGAACACCCTAAGGCTGCCTTCCTAAAAATGAATTACTCCAGGTATGTTGCCAGATTTCTAGGTCAAAAGCCTTAACTAGCTCAGCGTCTTACTTCCTATATGGGAGTTTGTCTACCCTATTAAAATCTAAATATATTGAAAGCTTTGCCAAAATGAGTTCTCAGAGACATTTCTGTGCGGGCATTTTGCGGATGCCCAGTCCACTTGTGCCAACAGGTAGGATACATGAAAAGTTTGTTTCATAGCTTCAGAGAAGATAGTGAGAAAACAAAATGTTAAATAAATGCAGTGCCTCCTGTTTGTCAAGGAAGCATTGATAAATGAGGTCATGCATGCAAAGTACAGTGTGAAACAGCACACATATTGTTATGTTTCAATAAATCTTAGACAAAATAGCCTACTGAGGATGAGAGTGGAGTAAAAGACTTCCATGGAAAAGTTACTATATGCTGCACATTTAAATTTTAAAAGACAAAATATTTTTGAAATGAATGTATACACTCTGTATTTAAAACCTGGCATGTAAAGAAATTTATAGTAATTGCGAGATAAAAGATTTGTGGGTGAGTGCTGAGGTTGTAATCATCCCCTTGATGTAGTATAAATAGGTGAATTTAAGTAGATTTAAAGAAAATAAGAATAATTTTGTTCACGTCACTTACAAATGTAGATGTTTAAGTTAAAAGTCATCTCAGGGAAAAAAACACATTTTGTTCCTGGTTTTAGCACCCAGTAGCATAGGTTGCTTTTAAATTTCATAATCATCACTATTGTAATTACATAATTATTCTTAGTAGATAAAAAGGGGTAATTATGGAACCTGAGTTTTGGCAATACCATTCACAATTTTATACCTGAAAAAAATCCTATTCAGCTCCCTAAATATATCTATTTAGCCAAGCCACCTGGTCTTAGAAAATTAGATTGGAATATGATTCTTTTCTTAAAGAGTAAAACATGTCTAATGGAAACAGAATACCAAATGCTTAATGCAATTATATTATTTATTTATTTATTTATTTTAAAGATTTTTATTGGGAAATTGGGGGGATGGGAACAGTGCTGGGGAATTGGGGAAAGGGGAACAGACAAGTTGCTGTCGTTTTGTTCTTCAGTCTAGTTGTGGAGGACGTTGCTTCACTGGCCCAAGTTGGCACCATCATTGCGCTCTTCTCTGGCGAGGCAGATCAGTCGCCGGCTTCTGGACGGCCGCTCACTGCGGCTGCTGGCCGCTCACGCTGGCTGCTGGCCACACACGGTAGCCCATGGCAATCCACTGCCACAGGGACTGCAGCCCATGCCGTCGCCGGCGACTCATGGCAGCCCAGCTCCAGGTTGAGCTGTTGTTCAGCATCTTAGCTGTGGAGGGCAGTGTCACTGGCCCTCATATGTGGGATCCGAACCGGGGCCCTCTGGCATCCCAAGCGAGTTCTTAACCATCGCGCCACTCGGCCGGCCCTAATGCAATTATTAATCTGCTTAATTTGTGATTTATTTTTAGTAGAGAAATGAACATGTAGATATGTGAAAATTAAAGTTACCCTTTGGGCTTAACTGATTAAGCGTGAAGATTTTATATGTCATGCAAAATGGAGTAGATTAAAATTGCGGTGTAATCGTTCCCAGAAATACTGTGCCATGCGATATAGTCAAGCTACAGACTTTATGTGTTTAACTGTCCCAAAGCTTTTCACTATGCTACTCTTTATGGATTGTAAAGCCACATGTGGACTTTTTTTGTTCCTGCAGGTCTCTGCCTAGCTGTTCTTTCCCACATCTTCTGTGCCAGGTATTCCATGTTTGCAGCTAAACTTCTGACACACATGATGGCAGCCAGCTTAGCTACACAGGTAGGAGAGCCCTGCGGTTTTCAACTTTCATGAGATACTCACATTTCTTCTATGATCCTTGAACTGAATGTATAAGTTTAATTTCAAATTAGTCGAAATAAGTGTATTTAGTTTTGTGATGGAGGAGGGTGGGGGGAGGAGAGCAGTAAAGGGAAATGAGAGTATCAGGATTCAAAAGTACATTTTGTGAACTTCCTACAGAAAAGTACCTTAATGTTATCACTTACAAGGTAATAGCTGCTTCTATCACAAAGCATTGTATTATCTACTTATCTATGGTAAAGGTATTAATGTATGCACATTAAACAGCACATTTTATTTAGTTTGTTGAATTAAATATACTCTTACAAATTACATGTAGGGCATTAAGATGATATATACTTTAAAAATCTAGGTAATATATTTTGCTTCATTTAATACTATAGAATACAGTGTGGTAGAACATTCTTTTTTGAAAAAATTTCAGGTGTCCATGGCAGAAGAAGCAGTGTGAAAAACATTGAGTCATTCATTAGCATGCAGTTTAAAGCCTACAGTTTAAAGCCCAGACAACAGATGAAAAGATTAAATGTCTTTTCTGTCCATGAGGTACTCACAGTCTAGAACAGTACATGTTGATGTGAATAACTATAATTTAGTGAGATAAGTGTAGAAGACTATTTGCAAACTACTCTGTGGATATAGATGATTAATTAATTTTCTTGTAAAGGTCAAGGAAATCTTCACAGAGGAGGTGATGTTTCAGCTTGTACTTCAATGAAGTTCATACAGATTGTTGATAAGAGGAGAGATGAGCATAGATGTTTGTAAAAGCAAAGGGGAAAATGCATCATCACTTCTACTTTAAGTCTATAATTACAGATCCAGACAGTAAGAATATGCTATATAATGTTGTCGAGAGAACTGTGTGATATTAATTTTATAAAATAAAATGTCCTCTTTTCTGGGTGAGTGGGGGCACTTCTGGAGTGCAGAAAATACTGATGCTTGAGAGCTGGTTATATGCGTGTGTTCAATCTAGGTAAATTTATTGTTTTGTACACTTAGGATTTCCACACTGTGTTTTAGAATGAAATGGCATTTGATTCCATTCCAAACAGAACTTTAAAACAATACTAGTGGAGAAGTTGAAATACAAAATGGAAAATTATCGGGGACATTGGACTTCCGTTGACTTCTTTTGCTCCAGGAGTGAAAATGACATGTGTAAATTTCATAACTGTGTTTTTCGGGAACAATCAAGTGCTGGATTCCAAACAGAGGATCCCAGATTATTTTTTTAAAGTACCTATGAACTATAGGGAGGGAAGTAACAGCTGTTACCAAAGGGGGGCTTACAATGAATTTGACAAGTCTATTTATATTGCCGTGGTAACTATCATAGCTGTCTGATCTTGCCTTCTTGTATGTAAAATCTTAGAAAACCCGCCTTCCGTAATTAGAGTTTACTTGGCTGTTTTCACCACCCACTCTGGTGATTTTTTGGCAGCTGGATTTGTACAAGTCTTAATTATAGAACCATAGCATTACAGACAACTCTTCAGTGGCCTAGCAGACAAATTTCTTCATGTCTAGGGATGTGAAAGACTCAGGATTTATATGTTGGGACATTGCCTTCTAATTCACATTGTACTTCACATTTATTTTGGAGAAAATGGTTAGTCAAATCCAAGTTTTTCAGCATATTTTAAAATAGGTGGCATGAAAAGGCCTATAACGTATGACTTGCGACATGAACTAAATTAAAAATCATCTCTGTAGTTTATTTTTGGCAGGAAGAATTGGTGTATTGTTGATAGAGAGTACTGTTTGTTCAAAACAGTTTGCCTATGCATGTTGATTTTTAAAACACCGTCTAAATTCAAGAGAATATTTGTTGCCCTTAAAACCTTTTAGCAAAGGTTGTAAAAAATTCTTAGACTCTCTTCGAAAAAAAAGACATGAAGCTGACTGCAGGAACTTGGGCCCACCCTTTCTGAATTTTAAAATCATGTTTATATCTCCAGTAGCAGACTCTGGCCAACGAGGGGGTATTCCATCCAGTTGCAACCGCGGATCTCTCATTTGGGATCAGCGTTATGTTGACATCCTTAGATTTTAAGTTTCCTCTGGAGAAGTCCTCAAAAATAGAGGTTTGGCCTGTGGTTCTTTGGCTGAGAGAGTGAAACTTCTCTAGCTGACCTTAGAGTGTTTGAGTCGTGAATACCCTGCAGACAGGTCTGCCAAGACCATTTGGTTTCAAATCTTTATTGCTGACCTAGGACTAAGCTGAAAGGCTTTTGTGGGAAAGGAAAGAATGGAAATGTGATAGCCTCTGACTTCCTTTCAAAGCCATAGTAAGGCAGTCAGAAGTCACGGTAATGTGCTCCTCTGGTTCTTTTTCTCTACTTCTAGAAATGTGCATATAATATATATATATATATATATATATCTCCATAATTTATTCACACACACACACACACACACACACACACACACACACACACACAAATGGAGGAAGATAGATAAGAATTCAAAGATAGTTCCTGCTTTAAAATTCACAAGTGCCGCTGTAATCTGGTTATTCCAGTGTCTTTGAGAATCATTGATCATAAATTACCAGCAGGTGGCAGTAGAAGATTTCCTTTTTGCAAAATCTTTAGCAAAGATGGAGTTACAAAATTTGAGATATTTTCACGGTACTTCTTTCGCTGGGCTAGAGAGCATTCATCTGCTACACAGAAACTATACATTTGTGAGTTCCTACCTTTCTCTTTTTGTCCCTTTTGTTCAGAATTGAACTAATGAATTGGTAAGGCACTATAAGAAAGCTTGTACATCACTGACTTGGGATATATCTTTCTATCATTTATCCTTTATAATTAAATTCAGGGGCATAAAATTATTTTCATTATATTTATGCTGTCATAAGCTGTAAGAAATATTCTAGCATATAAAAATGGGTTTATTGAAATGCCACAGAATTTTGAGATAAGATCTATATTTTCAGTACTGTTTATTTAAAAAGTATGACACTTTCTTCAGTGCTCAGTTAATATTTCTCACTTATCTGAAACAAAATGATTAAATGGCAAGAAATTGTGAGACCATTCACTTCAAGTATGAAGTGAAAAACAGCAAACAAATTTTCATGGCATTGGCTGATGTTTCTCGGAAAAACATCTAATTATATCTTTGGAATTTTTATCTTAGAATCACATTGCCAACCCATGTGTGCCTGATAAGACTGGTAAACAGCTAGGACAAAGGACAAGTTTGCAGTTCAGGGTTCTCAGTTCTGGGGGTTCTTTCAGGAAAAGCAATTCTCCAGATCTAAAAAAAGAACCACAGTTTCCTCACTGAAAACATGATGAGAAGGTAGAACTACAATTACTCTGATTAATCAACTTAGCGAGGGAGGAATATTTGTTTTGTTTTGGTTTTCCCTCAGTTCTTTGTTTGTATGGCTTATGCACATTTCCTGAAACTGAAAAGCATATTTGTCTAGAAAAAAAGTATATAAAATGATTAAATTTACCAGTCAGCCTATACATTATCTGAATTCAGATGACACCCTGAGTACCTGAGTATTTGAAATACTTACATGGAAATTTTTGGTAGCCGGTGGATGTGCAGGAGGTTTGAGCTACAGAGGCCTTCTCTTTAACAAGGGACAGGGAATTGTCTTAAAACTCAGAGAACCGTTTTCTGGAATGTAGCAGAAGTTGGGCTGTTGGTGTCTTGTCCAGTTCCGCATGCTGCAATATTTGGGGATGTCATTTTGCAATGTCGTTTTGTTTCCCAGGTTAGGATGCTGCTCAGATACTCCTGCCAATCGATGCTGCTTTAATCTGCAGGTTATGTCATTCTAGCTTTGACTATCTAGCATCTTTGAAACTTTGAGACTCATTGACAGCACGTGACTGAAGCCAGAAACCATGTGTGACCTCCCAAATCCTGGCTCCTTCTGCCTCTGCAGGGCCTGGTCTCTCACTTCAGCTTACACTGCTTTGGTGAGGTTGCCAACGCAGGCAAGTCATAGAGTGTGTAGGGTCAGAAAACATGTATCTAATAGTGTATTGTTATGGATTGAAGCAGAATAAGACAGAAGTTGTAAAGTGCTCCTTAACCAGAGCAGACTTGTCATTCGTTGGAAGTGTTGGTTAATTGCTTTTTAACCAGTGTCCTTTAGTATTTAAGAGTTTAAATAATACAAGGGTCAGAGTTGGATCTTGCTTTGAGAATGAGGAAATTGAACAGCACAAAAGGGTCGTTTATTCAGTGGAACATTTATGATTCTGTGTTCGTGCAGATGTAAATGGCTTAGGAAAGTGTTTCCTCAAGTCTGAGGTAGGCCTCATGTTAAGATTCCGGTACTGAATCAGTGAGTCTGGGGTCGGCTTCCGGATCCTGCTTGTTAAGAGAGTAGGTTCGCTGTATTATGACTCAAGCACATCTCTGGTTGTTGTTGCTGCCACTGCTGTTGACGCTGTTGTTATTATTATTGTTGTTGTTGTTATTATTATTATTATTATTACTAGACCCACACTGTCGACCTATTTTCCTTACTATAAAACATTATTTAAGAAATCACATTAATTAAATTTCTACTTTCATTTAAAGTGTCATTGCCTTTGAAATTACTTATGTTTATTTTTCCTTCTGGAAGAAAACCTTCTGTTGCTGCTTCCTTCTGGCCCCCACCCCCTCCACCCCAGCCACGCACGCCGCACTTCCCGGTTACTAAGAAAAGGAAAGGTCCTCAGACAAGTGAATTAATGTACAACTCAATACACACCAGCCTTGTATTTTGGTCTTACAGCTTTTCACACTTTGCAGAACTTCTCAGTGTTGTTTTTGGACATAAAATAAACCACTAAAAAGAAATATTAACCAACCCCCTACCTCTAAATTCTTTCTTTCTTATAAAGTGCTGAGTGCCTCACTTTAATGGTATTACATATATAAGGCTTTTGTCTTTTACTTTTTGTACAAAAAAATTCTGAGGTGTTTGTTATCGT